GAAGCGTGCAGTCCTGTCGCGCGGCACGGCTCCTCTGGCGGCAGCTCGCTCGCTGCGCAGCTTCTCGAGCTTGACTAGTGCATCGTACTTGGATCTCTTTTCTTGGTCGATGAGGCACTCGTAGGCCTGCTGGATGTTGTGGAACTCCTCCTGCTTCTGCTCCTTCAGGGCAGGGTCGGTCACCTTGTCCGGGTGGCACTTGAGGACGAGTTTGCGGTAGGTAGCCTTGATGGTCGAGGCGTCGGCGGTGTTGTCGAGGCCCAGGGCCTTGTAGTGATCGGGCGTGGGCTCGTCCATGGCGGTGAATGTGGGGAGGGGATTGCTGCTAGCTAGGTGTGTGGGGTATCGTGTCTCTTTTATACGTGGTGTGACAGCAACGACTGCTTGCGACTCAGACCTGACACATGCGGACGCGGCCAAGCGAGTCAATGGATGTGATTGATGGATGAGCAAGCGAGGTGTGGCGGTGTTGGGCGGCCGGGTCTGTTGTATAGGCGGCGGGGGGAAAAAAAACAAGAGCGATGGGGATCAGATGGGGCGGGATGGGAGCCCTATAAGGAGAGTCGGGTGCAGTATGTGCCGGTGGTGAGAGCTTTGGGCGACTGCGGGTGTTCCTGGGACGGGGGTGACGAGGATGGCTGGCTTGGAACCTGCTGACCTAAGGAATTGTGGGTCCGCTCAGGGACACAGACGCGAGACGGGCAAGACTGGCGGCGGATCGAAGACGGCGGAAGGTCGTGGCAAAGCGACAAAAATTTCGGATCAAAGAATCTGGACAAAGAAATTATCAAGAAAACAAGCTACCCGGACGACAAGTCGGTGACAATAGTGAGGCTGTGCGATCTTCTTCTTCTCTTGCTCTCTCCCGCCTCTAGCTGCCTCGTGGTTGCCCGGCAGCGTCGATTGCGCTGCTTGGTGGACTTGCGGTGTGGGTGCAGCTGCTTTGCGACGTCACCGTTTCAGCGATGCCAATATGCCAATAGGATCCGGCTGCCAATAGTCGGGATCGCACCGCGTAGTCTGGACGCAAAGAATCGAAAAATAACAGAAGACTCGGGCTTCGAAGAATAGAATTGTGCAACGGGAATTGCGTTGGGAGCAGTCAACCTGCACGCCTCTGGGGGTGCAGTTGTGACTATATCAGGCTCGCATGCACAAGGCTTCAACAGCCGTCCTGGGAATCCCTGTGTCAACGGGGGGTTGCTGCGGACTGGCTTTGCACTTGTCTATTTTGCACCGCACGCTTCATCAGCGTCCACATGCATGCGCTACCCACGCTATCCAGCTCTCGCCTACCAAACTCGTCCACGGCTGAAGAGTCGTCACATCTGCTCCTCGACTGCCCTAGCCCCCGCTCTGAGCCACCATCATCGTGTCCCATCGCATCGCATCGCGCAAGCCGCTGTCCGTTGCTTCACATGAGCACGCTGCAGGTCGACCTGTCGGCCGCGGCGGCTACGAAACACCCTCTCCAATCAAGCCCCAAAGCGGCCACATGGACTGTTTCGAGACTTTCTGGCGGACCGCATCTGATAGGATCAACCCGTACAGCCTGCATGACCACCCAAGCCCCAAGTGACCACACCATTTGAGAAATGCTCACCCAACCCCACCATGAGCATTTACAAGACATGACGAATCCGGCTGCACAGATAGGGTACAAGTCAAGCACAGAGCACAAATCGAGAAGCGTCTCGTCACATTCGAGATGCAACCAAGCAAACTCTCTTCTGTAGCTTCCGAGACACTTGTCTACCTCAACTCAGACGACAGTAGTCACCGGGCACTCGGCACAGCTTCTGCACATCCTCCGCACATCACTCCATCTACTATGCAACCTGCTGAGGGGCATCCCTGTGTCGTGTCTCAACTCGGGTCAGGGCACGGCGGTTGCGTCGCAAGTCAGCAATTTTTCCATCCCATGCCATGTGAGAAGACACAGATTTGCTGCCACTCGATCCGTCCCGACTGGCAGACGTTAGCCCGCGGCCTGAATGGACGATAAGATACGCTTATGCGGGGTTAGGCGGGGCACTACTGTATGTCACACCCAATCGTGACATGGTCAGCTCACAGTCCGTCAAAGCAGGTCCTCCTACGTGGTCCTCCACCATTGCATGAAACAAGTGAGATAGCACACAGTATGTATTAAACAGCAAGCAGAATGATGTAGGTGTTGGTTCTAGAGTGTCGTTCACTGGTAGAATATGAGATCATTTGGGCCAGGCACGCTGCAGTCAACCCGTCATCTCACATTAGCCCTGAGGGTATACCTCACTTGGCTTGTCCAAAGAGCCCCATACGGGAAGCTCAACATCGACGACTATCGGCTTGTTGTACACAACCGACGTTTTGCCAGCAACTCTCGGGCCCAGATACGCTGCGTTGATCACTGTAGTCTGACTACGCGCCACTTCCGTCCCTGATGGAGGCATACCCCTCGGTCGTTCTGCGATATACTGAGTAGCCTCGTCAGGACACCCATGTCCGGTATCGCTCTCATCGTGATGCTCTAATCCACCGCCCCATCCTGCCTTACCTCCACTACCACCCCACAGCGCCTCACTGTCCCGCAGGGCAACGTCAGTGAGGCTCGCTGTTGGGTTAAGCTTCTCACCCTTCGCATCTCCACCGGATGGGGGCTTATGCCCTGTCTGATCCGGTGCAAACGACGCATCAGGCTGGCCTCGAAGATGGTCGCATCGCGAGTCAGGCTGCAATTGACGTGTCAAGCTTGTATGGTCGCAGCCCGAACCACGCCCTGCTCTCGCCCGCATCGTCGTCAAATCGACTAGAGAAAGTTTCTTGTTCGAGGCTCCTGGGTCGTTCCAGAACTGCACGCTTGAAACTAGGGTACCGCTATCCATAGTTGTGGGTTGTCCATGTAGCTGTAGAGAGGAAGATCTTCTTCTCCATTGTACCGTCTCCACCCCTCGTCCATTGTGTATGTGTCCACAGATGTTCAGCATCGGTCTGACTATCTCTAATTTTCTTAACAAGGCTGGGCATCCTGACCTTCCATCTTTCTGTTGCCTACTTGCTCCTACTCCGTCGCATTGCCCCATTGGCGGTGTATGAGTAACTACTATATCCACGCCATTTGGAATTCTGTTCCACACTTTCTCTGCCTCATTGGGTTCGTATTGAAAAGCCCAATCCGCCAGTTGCTGCTTGGGCGTACACGGACTGCCAAAGACAGTAAACCACGTTCCTCGTCTTGGAAGTCGTACCGTCGTAGACTCATTCTCAAGGTAAGTAATCGATTTAGATTCCGTCAACAACTTCCTACACGCCTCTGTATCTTGAAAGCCAGGCCATTTCCACGATGCTTTGTTTTCTTCAAAGAACGGTTTGTCAAGTGTGATGTCGTGGTTTCCTTTTGTCTCGAGTATCAGCAGTCTCCTCTTGCAAAGTAAAGAGCATATTTCTTCATACCAGCGATCACAATCTTCGACTCAAAATCTTGCTTCTCAAGCCATTCAACCTTCCTTTTCAATTCGGTATAGCTTCCTTGGTTCGTCAGGTCACCTGCGTGAATCAATACGTCGCCGGGCGGCAACTTGGGCGTCTGATTGTGCGTATCTGATATACAGACAACACGCGTTTTGCGCCGTGTGGTAGACATTCAGTAGTATCATCGGGTTTCGCGCTTAGCAGTCCGTTTTCGATCAATATTACGATCAAGGCTAACAAACAGACACACATACACACAAAGTCTGGTTAGGGGGTCACGTTAGGCTGGGTCTGGATCACGGTTACGTCACCTCCGTTCCACGACTCCCGAAACCAGCATCATGATTGCTTTTTCTCTTGTTCGCATCAGCTTCGCAAGCGGATCAACATGGCTAGCCCTTAGTCAAACGGCAAGTCCCCTGTTTTGTCCCTGAGTGATAGACAAGACCGACAGGTACATCCGCAGCACGACATCTTCGCCTTCCCGGGGTCGTTGTTCGCCGCACCTCGGCTGCAGTTTTGCCACCGCCACTACTTTGCGCAACCACGCTTGCGATGTTCGATGGCGATGGCGAGTTCAGCCGCATGATCTGCGGTGGTTGGCGAGGTGGTTGGGGATGACGGGACAGATGGGCAAAAAACAGGATCTTGATGTGGTTGCGATGGCGATGGCGACGGCGATGGCGATGGCGATTCTAGCCTTGCTATTTCCTAATTTGGTAAATTCAGTAGGCTGTTGATCGCTTCGAAAGCGTGAAAGCTATTTCTCGCGAACGCTGCTGCTCAGCCCAGTACCGACAGGGACTTTGTTCCATTACAGGAAGGTATGCTTCAATTTCAGTAACTTCACCTACGCATATTACAACATAGCAGAATTGGAAACAGGAATCTATCTCAAACTCCTTCGTATTGGCTGTCTTGCCTCAAAATCCTTTTTCTGCATTTTTTTTTGTTTCATCTGGTTTCGTACCGCGAAGCCATAAACATCTGTACAACCCGTGAGAACAACCCATATGAACGTCCAGCTTAGTGGTATCTCAACTTCACGACGCAACCACAGATACCCCCCTCCGGCACCTCTGCAGAATGTTTTGACTTTCCGGTGTCCGTCCCCATATCGAAATAGTGACCCGTTTCGATGCACCACTGCCATTCATTACAACCCAAATCCGACGCGATAACCATCAAGTGGTTGCCAAGGCCAGGTAACGCTTCAAAAGAAAGCAATCAAGGGAAAAACTATTCTCATAAAAGACAAAGAAACAATCGTAAACGCTGTCTGTTTCGTCGGCGAGTTGCGTGATCAGTTGTTCAGTGCGTGAGTCTTGGTACAAACCTAACCGTTCCAAGCGCGGAGGTGAAATTGAAACCTAGCTATTAAGGTATCGTCAAGATGAACGCCTGTTGTCATGTGATCAAGATCAGATATTGCTCCTAGAAACGTTGTTAGGCTCTCAATCAAGCCTGGTCACACTAGGTCCTTCCTCCGCGTCGACAGGCTCCGTTGGGTTGACGACTCTCTGCAGACGAACAGGCGTATGTTCGTCTTAGACGTCATCAGTTGCTTCAATAAGCTGAATACCGCTGTCGAGGACGGGAAAAAGCTTTTCGTCGTCCATAGCTGTATCGACGCCTGCGTCTTCCCAGAGAACTTCATGTCCAGTGATTACGGTACCACCACTTGAAGATCCTGCAGTACTGTTGTCGCTGCTGTTACCCATGGTCCAGTTTTCGTCGCTATCGTCCAAATCGATGGGGTCATGGTAGTTGGTACCGCTGGAGCAGTCACGCCTGATATGGTGTGACCTTGAGAGCTTATTAGTGTAGCGAGTTCGACGCAGAACCGGAAGCCGTGGCTTCGGCGGGATCTCGAACGAGACGACTGGCCCGTCATCCATAATAGCATCTGTACCTTGGATAGCCTGGTAGTCGTGACGGTCTGCGAACGCCGCGGCTCGGGTGATACGGTGCCAACGAAGGATACTGTCCTGCATCTCGCGGCGGACAACACCCGAATGGAATTGTGGTGAGAACACCTGCGTCACCCATGCGTGGTTTACAGCCAGACTCAATCGTTCCACACCCAACGATTGCTGACTTTTGATATATCTGATCAAGATTTGCGTCATCTTGTACACAAAGGGTCCGCAGGCACCTCCATCCTGTTTGAACAAGTTGTCAAAGTTCTGGTCGGGGCACTCGAGCTGTATGAGGTAGGTCCATAGAGAAATATCTTCGCCGAGGATGTTGAGCATACCGAGGGAGATGTTGCGACCCAAGGTCTGGTATTCGTGCCGATCAACCCACAACGAGTCGTAGTAGTACGCATTCTTCGAGATCCTGTCCATGGCCACCATAGACCAATGTGATCCGCTGGTTCCATCGTTCTCGATACCACCCATGCCATCGTTGCAAATAACGATGATCCAGTTCTTGTTGTTGTAACGTGTCCTATACTGGTCGTATTCTCCTGAAGGGCCATCTATACCGTTTGAGGCGAAACAGCAGATCTGGGCCACAGTGGAATTGGCAATGTCGATACCGTAAGTGTCGCAATCTTCATCACGGCGGAGTACCTCAAGAGCCATATCCAGACTCTCGCCACGCATCCAGACTTCCATACCAGAAAAGGAGTAGCACGTAGCGCCGATATAGTGAAAGGCGTCGTTTTGTAAGGTGACGTCCCCGAGCTCAAGGAAATTCTCAGTGTTGTGAGGAATCTCAGTATAGAACACTGGAACAAAGGCAGCATATCGACGGGGATCAGGAAGTGAATACTGCGTTAACTCAACGTAGGGAATTTCTGTCTCTGAGGTCTGTGGCCAAAGACGATCTTGCTGTACAATGTTAGTCGGCCACGCAGAAATATGAAGCAGTGGCTGCAAATCGTCTACCTTCATATGAGAATGTAGCCAGCAAGCAAATTCTTGTGTCTCCCAGTTCTCGGTAGTGTTCACATCAATGCTGTGACGCCGCTTCAACAGAGGAGGCTTTGTCTGCCTCGTAGGTAGACTTCCACGTTCGAATCCACGGGAGGCAAACACGAGCATCCTCTTTGTCTGACACATTATCGGACAACGCGTCTTGTGGAAAATCTTAGTCCGTCTAAAATGCTCCTGTCTTGCTTGGTTGCTACGAGACTCGAAGATCTGCAGTGCAGAGGGCGTCCGATCAGAGGACGGAGCTGCAGTTGACGAGGTAGGTGGTCCAGCGGACCCATCTGGTGATGATCTTGGTGTTGCTATCTGCTCCAACAGCGGAGGCGTCGTACTTACCTCGTTGCCGAAATCGTCAAGGAAGGATGGAGTTATGGGCATGGCAGAACCAGTGTGTTTCTCCTCTTGTGATCGCGAACGCTTGTGCGTATCACCCAGAAGTTGCAGATCCGTCATGGAGTCACTCTGAACCGGTGGAGATGCCAGTCGTTTTGACTCGATATGTGGCTCCGCGCCCCGAGAGGAATCAACATCGACCGCAGATGAATTCAAACATGAATCAGAGTCAGGCTGGCTCGTGGATATGGGCACTGCTGTAGGTACAAGTGATTGCGATCCGGCATTTAATTGTGACGGGGAAGAAGAGCTTGGATGTGGGACAGACTGCTCCGATGAAGTAAGCGCGACCTGCGCAGTGACCTGGGCAGGCATGCGCTCGTCAGAAACCTCATTTTGCTTCACCATGATGTCGTGGCTTCGTTTCCTGGATCCGACGTTGCTGGTTGAAACTGTAGAGTATATAAGGTCGGAAGTTGTGGCGACCTGCGCGATGTGAGAGCCTGCAAGTGGCCGCGAAGTAACAATCACTCCTTGCTCAAGCACCGGAGCAATCAGGGATGCGCTTGATCGCGAGTTTGCTGTAGTTGAAACCGAGTTTGGGCGCGGATTTGCGTTGTTTGGGCGCGAAATGTGAGTGGTGGGGTGGGAGAGAGGTGCTGTTGTCGTGGTATATCTTGGTCGTGAAGAACTAGGTACGTGAGAGGAACTCGAAGTAGGATGCGAGTGCAACTGCGTCATAACCAAAACCCAAAAGCGTCTGAAAGAGTGAATGTGGGCTGGTGCGCTTTCAGAAAGTAGTTTGCTTCAACGCAGGAAATGTCGTTGTTTCACACTGCTGTTGCATGGACGATGAGTACTTAGCGAGGATAGTGAGTGACAGTGTTGAAAGGGAGATTACGCTCTTTATCAACGTACGCACCGCTTTTCATGAATTTCAGCGTGGAAATTCAGTATGTCTGAGCCACGGTTTCGCAAGACTAGGCTATGTCGGTAATATAAGGCAACAGCGCACATATCTCTATAAGGCAGGTACGAGGCCCTTGTGAATGGTTAGCATCACATGACGACCCACAAGGACCCTTGGAAGCTACTCATCAAAGGAGCAATCACCAATCGGCAATGCGGTAGTGATCCCATCTGTACGGTGTCCGTAGTAGGATGCGACTCGACGTGCGGATCAGGGCCAGTAGCAGAAGTCTTCGGAAAGCTGGTGTGCGAACAAAAAGTCCATGTTCCCAAGATATATGACTGCTTTGCCGCGATATTGTGAGGTTGCTTGGTCCTGAGAGCAACTGAGTGGTAAGAACCTGGTTTTAAGAGTAACGTCAAAGCATGCGTGAGAGCTTGCTCGTCACATGTTCTTCACAAAGCTTGCTCTGGCAATGACGTGTGATCTTCAAGAGTCATTAGCTTTTGTTCGGCGAATTATTTGTAGTTCATCCACGTTCGATCTACACAGAAGAAAGGCTGTTTTGGTAGATGCTATGTACACAGAGTCTCAATACCTATGTTTTGAAGAGAGAGGAAAGCGAGGAAAGCAAGGAAAACGATCTGGTGTTGGTATATGAACTAAAGAAAGGAAAAAAAGGAAGAAATTCAAGATCATGAGATGAACGGTGATCGATCCTGCGCTCACACGCTGTCCTTTTACGTGCTGAAACGCTGATAACAAATGCTTCCGCAGTTGGCCCTTGATGGCAAAAAATGCAAGTCATGAGAACAGTTTTCTCTCACAATGTTTTTGAAACTTCACAATGGTGAATCGCCTAGACGTAGCATGCCTCGCGAGGCTGACTGCACATGTTCGTTCCCAGTATGCTCTTATGAGCGTCTGATTCTAGGTCTTGTTTGTTGTTCGGCTTTGTGTAATGCGCCGCTGCTGGTATGCCCATGGCGAATTTGGCCTCAGATACGTCAGTCGCGGCGTGACTACACGCCGGTCAACGAGGAGGCTGGATAAGCTAATAGGGTAACGTAAAACGTCAACACAAGCTCAAGGAAGTCGAGAGCTACATCTTGCTCACTCTCCGATACTTGTTCCCCTCAGTCGCCTGCCTAAGCTCACGCTACGCCCAATATCCGACACACCGCCCACTGAGTGTCTGTTGTTCGGATTCCGAGCAACATTCAATTGCGCTCGTGGTCGTAAACCCCCTGTCAAGGTCTTCTCGTAGTTGGCTGGCGAGCCTTCACGTCCTAAGTTGTGACCGTAGCGGCTCTGACCGTCCCGGAATAGTAGACTATGCTCATTCGAGGGCGTACTACTTGAGACACTGGGCCGACGCAAACTAGCGGTAGTTTGGAGCGCAGGTGATGGTTGTAGGTCAGGCATTGGCTCGCGAGATGTGTACTGTCTGCTGAATCGATTTTTGTTGTCTGCTTGACTCTGACCACCATGACGGGCTCTAAAATCGATGGAGGTCATTGCACGGGATGGCGCACGAAATATTGGGTCCTCATCTTCCTCATCCACGCTGTTGCGTGTCTGGTGGAAGCTTGTGCCTGCCCGCTGCATGCGCGACGGAGTGTGTCTGTCGTCGTAAGGTTCTTGGCTGTTTCCTCTTTGGCTGCCATTGGGTTCAGGAATAAGCATACTGGTCCTTCGAGCCTCGATGCGTGACATGGCTCTGCTAGGGCTGACGCCAGTCAATGTGTTGCTTTCGGGTTCGATGCTTTGTCGGATTGTCGGCGAATCGCCATTGAATTGTACGCTTGGCCTGCGTGATATTGTGGCTGTATTTGATCGGAAAGCTGGACTGGCAAGACCAGTTTTGGTGTCACATAAAGCTATACAGAGCTCTGTAAGACTACGGCAGAGGTTGTCGGCTTTGCGACGGACCTGGCGATCCGACACTACAGAGCCGTTGATGATGGAGCTAGCAGAGTGGAGTGTGCCCTGCGGTCCCGCACTGCCGCTCATCTCTGCCAACGCGAGTGCTTCTGTCGCGGTCGATTCTAGGGTGCGGTACACAGCTGGAGAGACATGCTGCCTAGCTTTGCTGAGAGCGTCCCGCAGCAGAGGGTGTGTCTTGCTGTTGTTAGGTGTATTACTGCCCACTGTCGACTCAGAGGGTGACGGGTTCGATTTGCGCTGCTGGTTTGGTGAAGAGGACACTGTCGTAGCTGAAGTATTGGCTGTTCGTGGACGATCGGCCGAAGCCGAAGCCGAAGCTTGATTCACGATGGCGCCTGATGTCGATGGTATCTTGCCGCCCATCTCGATCTTCCGTATCCTGGACTTCAACTCGTCCAGCTCGTCCCACACAGACGCAGCAGGCCCTGTAGAGCCATGCGACTCGGTACCATCGGCGCGTGAACCAGCCTCAAACGACGTCTCCACTTGGGGCGTCCGTGGCTCGTGTGACAGGTTTGACGGCCTGTAAGGGTATGCTGGGGTGCGACTTGGCGGCGTGTGTTGCACCTCAGGCTGAGATGGTCGTCTGGACGAGTTTGAGAACTGGGCTAGGAAGTCGCGTGGGGAGAGCTCTGCGTCTCTTCGTGATGAGGTGAAGGAGGCTTTGTGGTTGAGATCCCGGGTTCGTATTGCGTCAGGCGCAGGCGAGTTTGGGGATCGCTCGTATCTGGAGGGAGTAGGCAAAAGTGATGACCGACGTATGCCGCTCGACCTGGCTTCCAGGGCAACAGCGGAGGGTATGCGGCTTGTTGTTGTTGGTGTCACTGAGGTCGACTGCACGGGCGAGGGCGACTGCAGCGCAGAGGGGAGCGACTGCCGGTTGTTGACTCGGGCCACTCGTGACTGTTGTAGTTAGCACCAGGGTCTTGCATAGGATACAGCTTGTGAAGAGACAAAAGGCATGGAGGAGACGGCATATTGCGCATGGAGGCAGTGAACGCGTGTAGGTACGGATGGCGTACAAGCAGCAGGTGCATCCGCCGGATACAGCGTTCTCTTGCTGAACTCTATGCGCTCGTACATGTTGTCTGCGCGGACTGGGGCGCTCACCTTCAATCGATCGACGCGCGCTGCTGCGGACTCTGCTGGGCGCTGGGGCTTGGGCGCGCTGTCTGCGGCAATGTTCAGAAACAGGTCCTCCTTCTCTCCATCTGCTCCTGGAGTTGCAGGCGCAGGCGCACCTCTCCCGCTATGCGCCGCGTGGTAGTCTTCCATTCGGCTGCGGGGGCCAGAGTCGTATTCGGACGACTCGTCGGTTGAGCTGGCCATGCGTCGCGGTGGGGGCGGCCTCGAACTGCTGGTAGAGGCTCTTCGGGGCGGGCGGGGTCTGGGGAGATTCCCAGTGCCAGGGTCTGCTGCGCTTGTTTGTTGTGGTGGTGGTAGTCGCGGGGCTTCACTAGAGGTCCCCAGCTCGTCCTCCCCGCGTCGTCTGCTGCTCGAGTGGTGGGAGCTAGTGGGGGAAACCAGGCCTGAGTGGATGAATTGTTGCTGCTGCGCATAGGCAAAGTCGGCGGGGTTTTGCGAACTTCGACTGCGTGTAACCAAGGTGACAGGAGGGCCGCGCGAATTATCTATGCCATGGCCACTATGCGAGGCTGGGGGTCGTCGGGCGGAGGTGGTCGAGCTCACAGATGGCAGGCGCAAGGGCGTCGGCGGCTCGGGAGCGGTATTGTTGCGCAGATGCTTGGGCGGCTTGGGCGGCGTCTGCTGGGAAGTCGAATTGCGCCTTTGCGTGGTGTGTTGTGAGGCTCCTCCAGATGATTTCCGAGAATGGGTCGGCATAGCTGCAGGCCTGCGCTGGCACACCAGACAGGGATGACGGACAACGTTTCAGAATACTCAGCCCGTCATGGCTGCTTTTGTGACCCACAGTCCGCGCGCAAGCCGTCGTATATTGCGCATGCTCTCTTCAAAGTTCAGAGGATTGATGCTGCGACGCTGGGGATCCCTAGCATCTTGACCATGGCCCATTCGTTGCTAGGGTGCCGGGCCACTCTGCACGAGATGTCACAGTCCTTTCTGGAACGAATGACGAGCTTCCGAACCGTCTCTTAGCAACGGTATGATGTGCAGCTAACTAGAAATATAGCCTAGCACCTATATCTGCCATCACATGCTCTGCCCTATCTCTGCCATGGACCATTATTGCCAAAGAGTGCTCTGCACAAACACACGAGACGTGGCACCCTGCTCTGATTAGAATTCCTGGTAAGCAAGGCCCTACGTCCACCTGCGCGATTATTATCTTCCCATTGTGGGCATTTATCCTAAAAAGCATGCTGTGTGGACATCTCGTCCGGTGAACGCACACCGCTGCTTGGACCTTAGCAGGACCCCATCTCCAACTTTCCACACTTTTCCCGCAAAAGATAAAGACTGCAGAAATACTGTGCTCAGAGCGACTGTTCCTGCATTCGCCATCCTGGTCAATGGCGCTATAAGCGAGTTGGGACGGGTACTTTGATCCATGTCAGTCACAAGTAAGAATCGCCGTAGCTTGAGTCGTGAAAATGAAAGCGGCATCAGCGGGAGAACCTTCCCAGGACACTGCAATTTCGCGACCCAAGACAGAGTTTAGCTCGCTTATCGTGTACACAAAATCGATAAACGGTAGGTTCAACGTATTTGCGCACATGCTAGTGCCAGTTGCGCCTCATTCACTGGTTGTGACGTTGTGGCGTCTCTTCACGTGATCTCGGCGGTGGCTGAATCAGAACGCCGAAAGTCTGATGAAATAATCTTGTCCATCGACCACCACCACAACCAAACACGGATCACGATATCCAACATTCATCGCCTCGCAGACCGTTCTAGCGAGTACATCGACCATGTCTGTCGCAGCACTATCCAAGTCGCTGCCGAAGCCGCAGTACTCTGGCGAAGAGGAGGAGCTCACCAACAGCACGCGCGTATTGACCGCAGAGCAATACGAAGCGCAAGTCGTAGCGAAGAAGGGTCCGCCGCCCTACGGCCAGAGGCAGCACTGGAGACCCCGCGCGCCTGAAGGTAAGGCTTGGACAGATGAGATGCACGCGAAACATGCACTGACTCTATATCTAGACTTTGGCGATGGAGGCGCGTTCCCCGAAGTACTAGTCGCGCAATACCCACTGGACATGGGAAAGAAGGGCACACCATCCACATCGAATGCCCTTGTAAGAAGGGTCGACGGCGAGGGCAAGACCAAATACGATGAGATTGCGCGACGCGGACACGGCGATTCAAGGATTGTACAAGCAAGCTTCAAGGACCTTATCCCCTTGCGCCAACAGGCAGACGCCGGCGAGCTGGACTTGTCGCGTCCCTCCGCCGACGTTGTCCAAGCGACCAAGGAGAAGACTGAGCAGGCATTGATGGCACTAGTTCAAGGGCAGACAGCCGCACAAAAGCCAAAGAACGTACAAGGACGAAAGAATGACGAGCCCACGTTCGTTCGTTATACGCCCACTGCGCAGCACGGCCAGGCGCAAGGCCAAACGCGCATTATCAAGATCCAGCAAAGACAAATCGACCCCATGGAACCACCCAAATTCAAGCACAAGCGAATCCCCCGCGGACCGCCATCGCCTCCTCCACCCGTCCTCCACTCGCCGCCTCGAAAGCTGACTGCCGAAGACCAAGAGCTATGGAAGATTCCACCCCCGATCAGTAACTGGAAGAACCCCAAGGGTTATACTGTACCACTAGACAAACGTCTGGCAGCCGATGGTCGGGGTCTCCAAGATATCACGATCAACGACAAGTTCGCTCAATTTGGCGAAGCGTTGCAGGCTGCAGACAGGCATGCACGAGAGGAGGTCAAACAGCGTGCTATTATGCAGCAAAAACTAGCAGAGAAGGCGAAACTAAAGGAGGAAGAGCGCCTACGGGACCTTGCGAAACAGGCACGAGCAGAGCGTGCCAACGCCTCCCGACGACGATCACAAAGCGATTCGGACACAGATTCAGAGGAGGAGGCAGTGCGCAAGCGAATGAATGATCGTAAAGAGCGGCGCGAGGACTTCCAGCGCGAACTTCGTCAGTCAAAGATGGGTACTGAGCGCAAGATCCAGATGCTCGCCCGGGAGCAGAATCGTGACATCTCTGAGAAGGTTGCACTTGGTCTGGCAAAACCGACGCAGAGCGGAGAGTCGATGTACGACTCGCGACTGTTCAACCAATCCAGCGGATTCAACGCTGGTTTCAACGAAGACAACCATTACGACAAGCCTCTCTTTGCGGCTCAGGATGCCATTAGCAGCATCTACCGCCCTAGTGTACAACAGGATGACGGGGAGGATGAAGGACAGACATACGATAGGATCACAAAGACAAACAAGTTCGAAGTCCTCGGAAAGGCCAAGGAGGGTTTCAAGGGTGCCGATCTGCAAGAAGCCCGGGACGGACCTGTGGAATTTGAGAAGGATACTGATGACCCATTCAACATCAGTCAGATGATTGATGAGGTTCGTGGAGAAAAAGGTGAAAAGGGTGAAAAAGGTGAGAAGACAGGCGAGAAACGGTACGGCATCCAAGAGCCTGAGGGCAGGTCAGCCAAGCGTGCCAGGGTCGACGATGACAGCGACTGAGCGTCTTGTTTTGTTGTCGGAACCTGAAAATTGGCGTTGGATTTCTTCTGCATATTTTAACTTGCCCTTGCGATATTGTAGCATTTACAGCGATCAAGGTCACGAATCGACCAATTCAATTCCTTCACCAGAAAACTATGATATGCACGAGCATTCTTTTGTGCCCATTGCCCTGATAGACATGCGGCGTAGCCAGCACATCCGCCAACAACTGTTGATTGCTTCGTACATGCTCATCACCGATCTTACGTAGCATCTTTCCCTATTGGTCGGCTCAGGGATCCCAGTATCGGATGGCGCACCCTTCGTCGGGTTGCTTCCACCGACATCAGCTTCCGTTCGTGCCATTTACACCCTTCGCTCCACAGCCCCGCCATCTCACGTCGCGAAAGCGTAAGCCAGCAATAGACCCTGAAGTTATGCGCACCTGGCTTGTACTGGTGTGTTCAAATTCGCCGATATGCTGCCGGATGCCGGGTTTTGATTGTATTGCTAACGTCCTTTCGTGATTGCTGGAATACGGACTATTCTCATTGTAAAGTGTATATAAGATCCAGTCGCAATCGTGTTGCGTAGAAGGAGGGAAATCCTTGTTGCTTCAAAGACAGAACCGCAACGTTCACAACCTATACCACGGAGATACGTCATGTCTACAGGAACACCAGCCTCTCAAGCTCAACACACGTCTGCAGTATCGGATAGCAAGGAACACAAGTTCAATCCGAACTTCACACAAGCGGTCATCAATGCGACGGGACCAAAGGCTACACCAAGAGTCAGGCAACTTACAGCAGGATTGATACGGCATCTTCATGATTTTGCGAGGGAGAATGAGCTCACCGTCGATGAGTGGATGACAGGAGTCGAGCTGGTACGTTGGAAAGCCTTCTGTGCTTAAGGCTCTGAGAAATAGGATGCTTGGCATGCTAAACAATGTTCAGATGAATGCAGCAGGTCGCATGTCAGACTCCAAACGCAAGGAAGGCCAATTGCTGTGCGATATTCTCGGCCTCGAGTCTCTCGTCGACGAAATTACCTATAAGCTTGCTCCCACCGCCGCTGACGAACCCACATCAACCGCTATCCTAGGCCCCTTCTATCGGCAGAACGCTCCGAAGCTGCCGATGGGCTCCTGTATCGTGTCCAAGGAGATAAATGAGCAAGGTGACCGGACATTTATGCATGGCACCGTCACAGACTTCAAGACAGGTCAGCCTATCGAGGGCGCGGTGGTGGACGTATGGCATACGGCACCGAACGGACTGTACGAACAACAGGATCCAGACCAGCCAGAGATGAATCTCAGAGGCAGACTCACAACAGGCAAGGATGGGAAGTATAGCTTCTATTGTTTGAGGCCGGTGCCCTATCCCATACCTTTTGATGGCCCTGCAGGCGAGGTCTTGAAGGCGTTGGATAGACATCCATTCAGACCGGCTCATATACACTTTCTGGTATGTCAACTTCCATAGTAGCAGCCTGCGACCTGTTATTCTAACGTATCTTAGCTTACTGCACCCGGTTACAAACCTATTGTTACCCAAATCTTCGACCGAACGAGCAAGTACATCGACGACGACGCTGTCTTTGCAGTCAAAGACTCTCTTCTTGTAGATTTCAAACCTTTCGAGGGAGATCCGCAAGCGGACTTTGAGCTGCCATATGATTTCAAGATGGCAAGCTTCGAGGATGCTAAGAAGCACTCGGTTGCAGGAACGACAGAAGAAAGCGCGTAATTGTCAAAGACCTAAACCCAAATCTAGAAACTCTTCAACTACTCCTAAGATTTTGTTCCCAAAGCTCTGATTATTTTGCTCTCCAATACCGCAGCCACCTGTTTCCGCTATCATTCCGATGTTAGGCCGATCCCCCGCATTGTAGCTAACCGTCTCCAACCGAACCGCGGTTGTCATACAACGCCTTACACGCGTCGCACGCCCTAGACAGAGGCTAACATCATGTGAATCTTATGATGTTTAGCGTCCATCTTCTGCATTATCCTTGAACTTTCTCTAAACCTTGCTTACTTTACAGGTTGATATCATTCAGAATCCTGGCAGAAGCACACAGTAAGCTTATCGCTACTACGCCTTGCAGGGATCACGGCATATTAGAACAACACAACTAACAGATCCAGATAGTAACGACCAATACCACTTCTAAATACTCCCGAAAAACCTGCAACAGTTACAAGGAGAAAGAGTTAGGAGATAGCTCATCATGGCAGGCCATGGCAAGATCACCCTCGGACGCTACATGTGGGAACGCATCCACCAAGTTGGCGTCGACACAATATTCGGAGTACCCGGCGATTTCAATCTCCAATTCCTCGATTCCATCTACCTCACCCCAGGCCTATCTTTCGTTACTAATCAAAACGAGCTGAATGCAGCTTACGCCGCCGATGGATACGCCCGTATCAAGAACACGCCCGGATGTCTCGTGACCACACACGGTGTCGGTGAACTATCGGCTCTGAACGGCATCGCAGGTAGCATGAGTGAGCATGTCAAAGTCATCCATGTCGTTGGTCAGACTACACGGGCGATGCAGAAAGGCAATATGATGATCCATCACAGCATCGGCAATAAGCCAAATCATCAAATGTACAACAAGGCTAGCGAGGGGCTGAGATTTGCTGCTGCAGAACCCTGGGATGTCGCAGATGCTCCGAAAGAGATTGACAGGGTGCTGAGGGAGTGTGTTATCAAGAGTGGGCCGGTGTATATTTTCATGCCACTAGATTTGAGTGCTGAGATGGTGGATGCTGCGCTGTTGGAAACACCGATCAATCTTGAGCCGCACGTTGACGAGAAGACACAGGACGAAGCGGTTAAGGCTATCACGGATGCAGTTACGCAAGCCAAATATCCGACAATACTAGTAGATGCTCTCGTCCAACGCTTCAATGCTGCCCAGGAGGCTGCGCAGCTAGTCCGCAAACTCAATGTTCCTTTTTTCTCAGCGACCATGGGTAAAGGCGTTGTCGATGAGACAGAAGAGAACTTTGTGGGGGTCTGGAATGGCGAAGTCAGTTCTCCGGGCGTCAAAGAAGCAGCGAAACAAGCAGACTTGGTGGTTACCCTAGGGTACATACCTGCTGATACGAACTCGGCTGGATTCTCAAGACAGTTGGATGAGAGTAGTACGATTCACATCAATCCGCACGACGTTATCGTAAGTATCCAGCACAACACGTCTGACGCTAGTTACTGACAGACACCCAGGTCAAGGGCAAGTCCTACCCTAACACAGCCATAAAGTCCCTTCTTGCAGCTCTTACTGCCGCCCTACCATCAACACCGCAGCATAAAATTCCAAACCCACAGCTTCCACCACCCCGCACACCACTCGACGCAAAGTCAGCCCATTTAACCCAATCCCAACTCTGGCCCGCCATCCAATCCTTCATCCGTCCCGGCGACGCTATAGTCAGCGAAACTGGAACTTCCAACTTCGGCATCTGCGACATTACGTTCCCCGCAGATATCAGACTAGTCACACAGATCTACTACGGTAGTATCGGCTTCGCTACTGCAGCTACGCTGGGCGTAGGAATTGCGCGAAGAGAGGTAGAAAGCAAAGCTAAGAGTCAACCGGCCGGAAGGGAAGGAGAAGGACGGACGATCTTGATAACAGGAGATGGTAGTATGGCTCTGACGATCCAGGAAATTGGTACTATGATTAAGGCGAAGTGTAAAACTATCGTATTTGTCATTAATAATGATGGATATACAGTTGAGAGGTTGATTTGGGGCGCTCAACAAGGTCAGACTTTTCTTTCCTCTCCCCTATCTACCATTCGTTTTTCGGCTCTACCCAGAGAATAGTAGATCCAACATCAACTGACATCCTTGACAGCATACAACGACATTGTTCCCCACAACTACTCTCACCTCCTCCCTCTGTACCGCCATCCGGACCCGCAATCCTCTTACCATCGCGCAACTACTCAGTCAGAGTTAGCAGTCATCTTAGAGAAACCACAACTCAAGCAACCGCAGAACCTGCAACTCGTGGAACTGGTAGTCGATAAGATGGATACGAGTTGGAAGTTGGGTACAGCGCTGGCGTGGAGAAGCGAGGAACACAAGGAGTATCTTACTAGAGAGGGCTTTGTAGATACGTATGGCGGATGGGGGCTGGATGGCAAAGCTGGAGGGAGTGTGAAATGGAGTTGAGAAGGGACAAGGGGTTACGTAGCATTCTTATTCAAGAATTGTCTTCATCTCTAGCTTGAGGTTGTTCGCGAATAGATAGCATAGATCGACAATGAAGTAGCTCTTACCTCCCATTCGAACTTCACAGATCCTGATTACCATCTCGTTCACCTCTTTCCATTCTCTGTCGATCTTCCTCTGTTGTTTCCTTGTTCTAAGCAAACACCCCGAGTAAACAGAACCACACAACAATAAGTTCGTAAATCATCACAGGCTGCTTCTCCCAATTATACATGACTGCGGCAAAGCCCAATCTCATTGGGATCGTAGAAGCCATCATGCGACGGTTGCCTTGGAGGGTGAAGATGAGTTGGTACCAGCCGACTGCTATTCCACCCAGACCTTTGTCACAATGTTAGCCTGAGCTTGAAGTATGATGGATGTGTATCTGCGAATTTATGCGGGTGTTCGAGGCGGGAAACGAATATTGGAAATCCTGACTTACCAATCGATTGCAAGGTCTTGTCTGGACCTTCTACACCAGTTATGGCAGCGTATTCCCCGGGGTTGACGAAGGGGTAGATGCCGAAAACTATGTTGACGAACGCATGTAAGATGAGAAGGAGACGAGCCATGCGCGAGATGGGTGACATTCTGATGGATGGAAGCACGGTGAGACCTGCTGTGATGTACAAGGAGATATCGCTATGTTGTTCGTTAGTTCATTCGAGTTGCAGGAAGACATTGATGGAGCTTCCAAGACTAAGCCAACCCCGCTATGGTAAGGCGTGCCATGTTTAGCGCCCACGTGGGCGCGTGTCTCTTCCGGCTTACGAAGTTGGAAGTTTGTCTTTCGATTGATCTCGACAGTCGCTTGTAACTCAATATCGAGCCATAAGTGTGATACTGTATAGTCCCCGGCACGACGTATCCTTTGCGCATATTCGAACGAAATCCACTTCCAAGGAGGATTATACAAAACGATATCTGCATTCTGACAACTTCTGCTACATATACTCCACATCTTCCTCATCTCGTCTTCTTTTCCTTGGTGTCTTTCTCGTTTTTGAGTATGAATCTGTGTCATTGCTTACCCTCTGCGAACTCCACAATGGCGCGGCTTGCCTTTTTCATCGTGATGAGCTTCAATCGGGGCTTAACACCAATCCAGAACAAACTGTAGCGTTTCCTCGATCTCCTCAGGAGAGCCTAAGCAAGAGCCTGTGATATGTACCATTTTCACGATGATAGAAAAAGCTGGGAAGCCGGGCAGCGGATCCTCAGGATTGCAATTATAGAAAGAGGTATTGGCTGCAATTAACCATCCTGTTTCTGGAAATTTGGGCCGTTTTTTTTAGAGTAACCCGAGTGGTGTCGGACATGATCATTATCGGGTGCGGTTGGACATCGGATGAGTATCGGAATTAAGGTCTGCAGCCTTAGATAGGTTTTGATCGTATGGTACGGGCGTCAAACACCGTACCCAAGGTTCCCGGGATTGCCCGTCCCAGCCCACCCATTAAGATCATAAAACCACTCGGGGCTCCTTCCGAAATGGAAGCCACTCCCTATGTCCATAGGCTGTCCTTGCATGTAGGCATTAATGTCAACATCCACACCCATGTTCATATCTCCTAGATCGGCGTCCAGCATATTCATTCCCTCCATCGTGCCGTCGAAAGAGGGGAAGTCTGCAACATTGCTGAAGCCTCTCTGGACGTCAGTACCAGTAGGAAGATGCTTCCCAGTGATGTCATCAGCGCCTTCGCCACGGCCGTGTTCTCTTCCATTGAAACATCCGCTCGAAAGACCTAGATCAATTTCTTCGCCGTGCTCTTCTCGATATACTTCAGCCAGTATCCGACTCGTTTCGCTGGTAGAAGATTTTGCTGCTTCAAGGACAGCTGCGTCGGGGTCGTTGCCAGATATTAAAGCGTCGATGCGTGCTAGGGCACAATTTATGAAAACGACACCCTTTGCGTTCGTTTCGCCATTATGAATCCGGGCTATCGCTAAGCAGCGTGATGATTCCAGGACTTCACGTAGAGGCTGATACTGTGCCGGTAATGATGACAACCCTGTGGTGGAAGATGTTGGTGTACGTGCGGAAACCATGGGAGCAAAGAGCGCTGCATCTTCGAGTCTCTCATTGATTTGCGAAGTAAGCTCGTAATATACGGTTGACATGCCGTAGAGGAAAAATGACTTAAAGAAGCCGACACATCGTTGTGTCATACGTGTCCAATCGTCTTCTTCATCAGGCGCGTTGTCCGTCGCCGGCGCGTAGATTGCTAACGAGGTGTCCAAACATATCTTTCTTGAGTAATGATAGCGTGGGTTTCTGAATGCTTTTGAGAAGTATGGGCGGTGAAGACAGAGGACGAAGCGTCGGACTAGGGTGTCGCACATTTTTATCTGGAAAGGCGTGATGTTGTGTCCCGCAGCTAATGCGGCTTTGAAGAATATCATCCCCTTGCGACAGGCGCTGATTAGCTCGCTGCCGACGCGCAGTACGTCATCGTACGGTAGATCAAAGCGTAGATTGTTGATCAGCTTGATGATCTCTAACCTTACAGGAAGAGTCCGTGTAAAACCAATTTGGATGCTACTGTCGGTGAAAACAGTTTCTGATTTCGCATCCAAAGACGCCTCAATGCCTTCACCCATGTCTTCATCGTTGATATTAGACGGCGGCTTAGTATCGTAGTCGTTGAGAGAAACCATGGGTGGCATGCCCATATCCAGGCTACTTTGCGCAGTAATCTCCAAGACGGTTGCCCAAAGCCTGCGTCGCATCTCACCATGATAGACGCTGATTTTGGGGAAATGAGATGGATCGCGATGCAAACCAAGATGCATAGCCGTTCGTAACAGTGTGCCTGCAGGTATCCAAATATGGTCGCCATCGACATTACAAACTTGGCGTGCGATTAGAATAAGAATCTGTATTTGCAATCCTATCATGTTGAGACGCGACTTCGCATGAGGAGCACTTTGCCACTCTGCTGCAGCCTGGATCCATTTCACGGCCGAGACGCGGAGCTTGGCTTGCTCTGGTCCAGTGTAGAATGGTACGCCAATTGCACATACCAGTAGAAACTTATGAACGATGGAGGGCTTTGCAGGCATAGTGCCTAACCAATAGGCGTCGTATATCTTCTTGAAAGAAGGAACGTGCAAGACACGAAAGACGCCCTCGAATGTGCGCAGGTAACAGTCAACAAGCGCATCGCTGATCTCCCTGGGTGGAATGCATGCTTGCAATTCTGGTGATATTGAAGGCTGTGACATGCGCGAGGCCTTGATGATGCGAGCCATTCGTTTCACTTCTGAGACGGTAGCATACAGTTCGGTCGACTTGTTCCTAGGCGTCAAAATTAGATGACTTCTCTTTTAAGTAAAGCTTACGCACAATACATACACCTCTTTCCTGTTTGTGTTTTCGTTGATCGTAGTATTCGCAGCACCAAGAGCATCGTACTGGTCGGCGTACGTTAGTGAAGTCCGGCACAAGTACAAACGTATAAAGATCTCAGGCAAGGCTCACTTACAGGGTCTATAGCGTTGATCCAATGACTCTGGCCGTAAAACTTCGACTTTACAAACTGACCGCTTGTGGCATCTGAGCTTTCCTGTCTCGGCAATGTACCACTTCTCGCTTGCTCATTCAAAGTGGCACTCGCCAGCTGCTCTTCTAAGCCGTGGATCCGATCCAACAAGCTACTGATGACGGAGGCTTGTGTAGTATCTGGGTGTGAGTTCAAGTTGAAAGACGGTCTATCGGCAGGCAAAGGCTTCAGCTTGCCACCACGTTCTCCGAGAAGCCCAGGTGCCACGTAGCGATTGATCATCGCGTCAAAGTTATTGGACAGTGTGGGCGGCTGAGGAGAAGACCGAGCCGGATGTCCTTGGTCCTGGTCGTTGCTGTGGCCTGTCGAGGTATCATCTTCGTGTGACCTTTCGCTCCTTTCTGACCGAATTCCCGGGCGCGTAGGTCTAAAAGTGCAGGTTGCCGATTTGATTCTGGTGCATGCCCCACAAGGCTTCTCTCGATCGCATTTTACCTTGCGCATACGACACTCGACGCAAGATAGTGCGGGCCTCCGACGACGTTTTGCTGGTCCGTTGCCATCTGTGTCTGCACATTGAATACTTGGTTGCTCAACCATCTTGAACGGAAGATGCAAGCAATGTAATCGTCACTGATTCCGCTGCGTAGTGTCAGTAGTATACGATGTTTCCAGATTCTGGAACTGTTGTAGGTAGCTGAATGAGTGGTGGCCGGTCTTTTGTCAAGCGCGGGTCGGTGATTTCGGTGATCTCGCCACGAGGCTTCCGCGGCATATTCGCCAGCCTTTCTACATCTCACTATGACAGCATAGCCACACTGCGAGGCATCGCACATTGCACCCCACATAAGCTCGAATCATCAGACTTGCGCGTGTCGTCTGTCAGGTAGAACGATGGTGTATTGATGGAGGCCTCGCAACATGAAACGGTTTTGGGCGGGTGTCGGCCTCGGGCTGGAGCCAGTCACACGAAGGTCGACGGCACCTGTGCGCACATCCACTCACATCCAGCCTCTCTACCCTCGACATACAACTCCGGAATGAATCTACTTTTGGGTGTACATTAGGTGCGGATGTCGAGTTTGCTGCGCGCGTCCACCTTAAATATCCTCATCGAGCCAGTACCAGCGGACGCTTGCTAAGAGAGCGCAACATCCACGGTGTACATTCTTTCAAACGCAGGTACTTTGTGAACTTTACCAAAATTGCGATTTGAAGAGCCTGCATTGAGGTACAACCATTGAAATTCTGTAGCAACTATTTGACAGTATATACGACAATGGGAAGCGCCGTGGTACACAGAAAAACGTGTGTTTGGCTTTCTTACATGAGGCTTCCAGCTTGCCCACCTCTACACGACCCTGTAACATGCGGAAATTTGTACAACCTCTACGCATTGTTCACATCGACACAGCGATAAGAGGAGGCATCAGATACAGCACCGCCCTGATAAACGGACACTAGCGGGTAAGGGCAGAGATCCCTTGACAGCACTGTTCCATTGACCGGGTGTTTTCCAATTGCTGGTATGGTGTCCGGGGAGGTACCATTCTCCACCCATGAGACAAGTTGTTGTAATCCGAACTGTATGGGTTGCGCCCCGGGACCACCCCCGCAATGATAGACACCTGGTGCAACGAAGAGCTTGTAGTAATGGTCCACGTCGTCATCTAACGCGGCTACACGGTTATAGTATTGCGTTGAGCCACCAAAAGGAATCAGGTCGTCTGCGATACCGTGCCAGCTGAGCAACTTCCCGCCTGCTTCCTTGAAAGCTGTAAGGTCTGCATCGTTGGTGCCTATGAAAGATTCCCATTGCTGATAGCCGGCATGCATGTAGTCAGGTAGTATTTCTGCAGTGATCGTGGAAACGTCGAAAGTTGTGTTCTTCTCAACGAAAAGTTGATAGAACTGTGCGCCAAGTGCCCAGGGAGAGATTGAGCAGTTACCCGAACTGCGGCAGGCCGTGTCCACCGTTGCCTTCAAAGGTGCATCTAGAGAGTATCCTGGGTAGATCCTCTGTCCCTGCTTGTTGGAGACACCGTACCAGGCAGCGTTTGCAACGGTTGCTGCTGCTTCAGAGATCATGTCGGAGCTATTGTTACTGCAGTTGACGGGCTGACCGACGACGGTGAACGGGTCAAAAGAACACAACTCTGGAATGGATATGATGGAATCTTCGAAGCCGTCCAAGGCATCGCAAGCGGCAATTGCTGCGGCCGTAATTGCTTCGAATTCGCAATTAGGGGGGTATTCTTCCAGAGTATTCATGACGGCTTGAGCATGAAACAAGCTTGCGAAAAGGGGGTTGATGTTCAACGCAGGAGCTGCAGCTAGGATACCATCGAATGCTTCTGGATAGCGTTGGGCCAACATCATGCCCTGTCTACCGCCTTGAGAACATCCTAACCAACTATGTCGAAAGTCAACCACTGCTCGCTTTCAAAATGGAATGAACTACCGGCAGCTTCTTCAATTGAAATGGTAGGGTCATACATACTAGGAGTAAGTGGGAGCCTTCTCATAGAAGCTCTCTGTAATCATCTTTCCAAATATAGAAAGCTCATTCAAGGTGACAGAGCCGAAATTCTGCAGAGCAGCCAGATCAACATTGCCCGGAGATCGGAGCGCCCAGGGAGTAGCGGTGATTTCAGTCGCATTGTGGCCACCATCAGTGGAAGCTGCTGCATAGCCATCAATGATGGCTGGAAGCAAGAGCTGGTCAAAAACACCAGCGCGCCAGCCACCGCCTCCCACACCCTGGAAGCGTCCGTTCCATTCTTCCGGCAGCCATACTTGAAGGTTGATCGTATCGTTCTGACCCGGGTGGTTATAGGTCATCTCCACACGACAGTAGGAGATGTTATAAGATGAGAAACCAAGAAGCGGCACAAGCTGTTCGGATGGGATTGGCGAGCCTGCCGGCGTCCATTGCGTCTTGAGCTCGGCTGTGAAGTTTGTAACTGCAGTGCCAGGGAGATAGGGCTGTTGGAGGCTTGAACAAGCCAATACGCGCGTTGCTGATGCTGTCAGAAGCTGAGATAAATTCCGATAGGTTACGGCCAGGCAATTGGATTTGACATACCTAAAGCTGAATACATTGTGTACGAGAGGAGACCGACTCGGTGCTAAAGACGCTCGATACAAGGGATAACTCGCTCTGATATGCACACAGCTGTAGGTGATGGCTGCGACAGCATCTTTTATATGACAATATGTTCCGGTGATTTGCAAAATGTCTCGGTCCTCCGACGTCATATCTTTCTCTCTTAGGTTGTATTGTCGGCGTAGCAGGTACCATGATACATCAAGGTAAACGAGCAAACGAATGAACGAGGGAACAAGTCAACAGATAACCAGCGAGTGGCAATACAGAGAGCTATTTGCTTCTTCTGTCGAGTTCAGTTACGCGGCATATTGGCTAGTACCCTTGCATCTGGATTGAGTACGTCTACCTCGCTAGTGTCGGCACGGAACATGGAGTTCTTCGGTTCCGCTGAACGAGTAAACGAGTACCCTCAGCCACTTGATCGGCAAACTTAGCGTCACTCTACCAAATTAAGCTTCTGGCGCAATCAACTCAGCCCCCGTCGTACATCTCAAGGTCTAAATCATGCTGGTGCACTCACAAACGACCTCAAGCCCTGCATGTCTACAAACGCAACTTCATCCATTGGTAGAGGTGCATCATGCGCGAACCTCGAGAGCCTGCCCGAAAGCCAATAAAGCGATACCATAGGAAGTCCAGGGCTGGATGCGACACGTGCAAGCGACGGCGTGTCAAATGTGACGAAGCTACACCAACATGTGGAGCGTGTGCTCAACGACAAGATCGATGCATCTACCAAAACCCAACTGTTGCGACTGCTGGATCTAGGAATTTGGCCAAGACGTCCTCAACCACAGCAAGGTCATCATCAGCATCATCCACATCCTCCTCCTCCTCCTCCTCCTCCTCATCATCATCATCGCCTCCGTCGATCACATCCCCATTGTGTCCACTGCACAATACATACCGCGGCTCTTCCTTACGACTGGTCACTTACAATGCCACCCGGATGAGAGAAATGCAACTCATGCACCAATGGTCCACAGTCACATATCGTACTTCTGGTCCTCGCAATATGGAGCTCTTTCGCGACTACACAGTTGAGCAAGCTCTGCAACACACTTATCTAATGGATATCGTTCTCGCATTTACGTCCCTGCACAGCGCGAGCAAAGCATCAGAGGCCAGCACTGTACACGAGCATGTCGCCGCCGCCCTCCACTACCAAAATCGAAGTATAACCGAGTTCAACGAAACACAGTCGCTCGTCAAGATATCGGAAGAGAGCTTCGATCCTGTTTGCCTCATGACTTCTCTCCACACAGTGACCACACTGGTTGCAGCTCTGACACCTGCAACTCCGGGCGAGCAGTTGGAACCAATAGTCGAAATAGTAAAGCGTGTCAGGACGTACGCGCTATGCTTGATGGACATGGTTAAAGGGCATCGCGTCTGGGCTGAAAAAAGTGAGCTTAAACGAATTACCGACAGCCCTACTGTACTACGAATCGAGGAAGGCCATTCGTTCTCGGCGGACCAGATGCGGGAGTTGACTGATGCTATACTGGCGAATATCGATCTTGACGATAGTGAGACCCCATTCTTCCGTACTACACTAGAGCAACTGGAGAAGTCATACGCTAACAACAATGGGCGTTCGGTCATCTCTTGGCTGGTGTTGGTGGAGCCTATTTTCTTTCAGAAAGCTGAATTGGGAGAAACTGCAGCTTTGGTAATATTGGCATGCTGGGGTACACTCAGTGTTATTCTGGAGGATATATGGTGGTCAAAGTATGCTGGCAGGAGAATTGTGGAGGAACTTTCTTCCCAGTTCAATGGCTGTGATAGCCGCTGGAATGGAATCATGCAATGGTGTTACAAGCAAGCAAGAATACATGGGTTGTAGATACGATGACATAGAATATCATAGGCTAGAAGGCGTTTAATGGATAAATAATCGCGGCTTCTTCTCACTTGGTATCTCATGAAGCACACATACATGAAAACGAGAATGAGATAGTCTGATACATTCTCGTTTATTCGTTCCTGTTGACCTATTATCTCCTAGTTCAGCCTCAGGGGCATACAGCCTTGGCATTCCCTACCACTATTACAATTTTGTTTCACGCGCTAATCTACTCAGCCACCCATGGCTTGAATACACTCATACTCTGGTCCTGTCTAAGCCTCAAAATCTGCGCATAACTCTCGTTCTTTCGTATAGTCCTTGGCTCGAAATGTATATATACCAATCTGCTCCTTACAGATAATATAGCAGACACTATATGCATCAGTTCCACGCTCCCCACCCGCAACCCTAGATCCTCCACGAGCAACTTCTATTCCTCATCGAACAACTTACCAGCTTTCCTTCACAGTATTTCTTACATACTCCCCTGGACCTCAAGCATTATCTACGACTACAATGGTAGACCACGAATCATCTCTCTATCCATACTCCCCTTCAAAGCCCGCGGCCATTTTCAGCATGGTGATTTTTTTAATCCTACTTCTGATACATTTTGTAAAATTGTCCAAGACCAAGACATGGTTCGCTGTGCCCCTCGTCATTGGCGCCATCTGTAAGTTGCTCCTCCTTTTCCAATAGCCCAGAGGAGAATGCGCAGTCTATTGTCAGCAATTACAAGAACCTGACTGACACCTCCCAAGTTGAGTCTTTAGGCTACGCAGCCCGTGCATACGGCCACTCGCATCCCTCCTCAAAGAACGCGTACATCGTCCAAACCATGCTCATCCTACTCGCACCCATACTCTTTGCAGCAACAATCTATATGTTCATGGGCCGCCTCGTCCTCGCGTCTGGACACACCAAAGCCTCCATCATCCGGCCGACGTGGCTGACAAAAATCTTTCTCGGTGGCGATATATTGTGTTTCTTGGTGCAAGCAGCAGGCGCTAGTTTTCTGGTGAAGGCTGATGCTTCGCGGTCGACAAAGAATCTGGGCAAGTACATCATACTTGCTGGTTTGGTCATACAACTCATCGTGTTTGGGTTCTTCTTGGTTGTTGCCGCTATTTTCCACCTGAGAGCCGGGAAGGCTGAGAGGTTGGAAATTGGAACAGTTAAGATGCTCAAGTGGCAGAAGTACATGGTCACGCTGTACATTGTTAGTGGTTTGGTAACAGTACGAAACATATTCCGCGTTGCTGAGTACGTCACGGGTGGTGAGTGTATTCCTTGCCTATCTGTTAATCTCAACTGACCGAAAGCAGACCAGGGATATCTCTTGACACACGAATGGCCGATATACATCTTCGATGCACTGCTCATGGCTGCTGCACTCGCGAGTTGCACGTCCTGGTACGTTGGTGACATCGTACAGAAAGCCTCCAATGGCGATGAAGAAGATAGCGGTGTGACAGCGATTGCCATGTTTGCTCTCAACATAGCAACCGCGATGGGTAGAAACACCCCTCTGATTCAAAAAACTACCTCCCGAAAACCCGAGTAGATATGTCTCAATAATCTACACTTAGTCACTACGAAAATGCTAGGACGTGTAGCTTAATGGTAAGGCACTCGCACCCAATGGCCACTAATCGGGGATGCTGCGTGAACTTACCACCAGCACCGGTTCTGCGATCTACCGAGGTCGATGTGTGAGCACAGGAGTAACAGGCTGCGGGCACCTGTGTGGGTTATGTGAGGGATCCATGTTCAAATCATGGCATGTTCAATCTCTTTTCTCTTTTTTCTCTCCCTTTTCCTTTTTGGTTGATCGAAATGAACGTGCATGCGTTGTTTACGGGAATGTGCATGCTATGTACTATAGACTAGGGGTTATATAAAATGTCACTGGTGTTTGTAAGTTCATGATCGTGGTATTGAGGTACACACTTCATTGGATATGATGCTATCGTCAACTCCATCTAGCATATCCGGAGACGTCAAGTCTACCAACCTAAATCATACATCCTCATCTACATCCATCTCAACACCATCAACACCTTGCTAAATGCCACGACCGCTACTCATACACCCTATCTATCACTATCTACATATCCTTTGTCAAATCGTAAATCTTCTGAATCTCCTTAAGCTGCCCCTCATGGTCAAACTTGAGATCCTTCAGCAGTCCATCCTCGAATCCAAATACCCAGCCATGCACAACTGGGAACTCATTCTCCGCCCAACACTGCTGCACAGCCGCCGTCTTGATAACATTTCGGCACTGCTCATACACATTGAGCTCAACAAGCTTGTTGTACTTGTCGTCCTCGGAGCCACCATTGGCGACGACGTCGTCGAGCTCCTTTTGGTGCAACCGGTAGACATCACGGATGTTTCGCAGCCATGGGTTCAGCAGACCCATGTCCTTTGGTGTCATGGCAGCCTTGACACCGCCGCAGCCGTAGTGACCGCAGACGACAATGTGCTTGACCTTGAGGTGGCGCACGGCGTAGTTTACGACGGACATGACGTTTAGGTCGATGTTGTTGACGAGGTTGGCGATATTACGGTGGATGAACATCTCGCCTGGCTCAAGACCGGTGATGGCTTCGGCGGGGATGCGGGAGTCAGAGCAGCCTGTAGGTGATGGATTAGCAACTACGTCTATGATGGATTGAGTCATTCCAGTATAGCCGTGTAGAACTCACCAATCCACAGATACTCGGGGGCCTGTCCGGCAGTCAGGTTGCTGAAGAAGGAGGGGTTCCTCTTCCTCATCTCATCGGCCCATTTCTTGTTGTTCTCAAAGATACGGTCATGACTCTGCTGGAGGTACTTGCGCACTTCCTTGGGCTCTTCTTTTCCAGTCATTCTGGGCCACGAAAAGTGTCTTTTGGCGCTAATTGGTTGTTGTGCTGTGGCTGTTTGCAAAAGCGGTGATGCTGCTGGTCCAGTAGAGCAGAATCGCAACGAAGTCCGGTTAAGTGAAAGAGAAGTACGCTGCAGCGGCGTTGAGCTTGATAAGAGTCGAGCTGCGGGAGCGAAGGAGAGCTGCCCCGCTGCGACTAGCTCTCGGAGAGCGTGGGGTAACCGGTGCGGCATGACAGGACAACAAGAAAAAAAAGATGGTGCAAAAGAGGTAAAACGCCAATGACAATGCTGCGGGCAGTTTCGGTTCTAGGAGAGAGGGGACGCGAAACGGATAATGCTCGAATTATTTTGCTTCTCCTGCGCGCCGATTGGGCGCTCTGACGTCAAAGGATTGGCTAAAGGATCAAGGACCCTGGTTGCAGATCAGCGGACGATGGGTCTAGCGGAGACATCTGAGTAAAACATCGAGACTGCAGCCTCATTAATATCTCACCAAAGCCCAAGAATTGTCTATTGCATTGAGCCTTCTAGGTGCTAAACGGCAGTTGTCGATTGGACACACAACACAATGCTTCTTGACGACGCCAAGAGGTCCATCATATCGCGCCATGCCGACCGTCTATTGAGCACAAGGCCTTGGCCAAAGACGATCTGCCCCTCCGAGATTGCCCGCGCGTTATCAACAGAGGAGCTGCGTACACTAGATGCGTCCGAGTGGAGGGACACCATGGGTCATATACGACAGATAATGTGGGAGAGGAGAGAGGCAGGACAAGTCGAAGTGGTGCAGAAGGGCCAAGTGGTGGACGTGGAGAGCTTGGAGGATATCAGAGGACCGATAAGAGTGAGAAACGTAAGAAGATAATACAACATCAGCAAATGCTCTAACTGCTGTTGCGGATTACAACATGTATATTAATTTCGATGCAATACAGGAAACGATTAGTCGTTCCAACTAGCCCGATATGCTAACCTTGAGAGAACCGCGTCCCCAACAGACTCCAATAAACTCCGATAAACTCCAATATATGCATGCATCCAAACCTTCGTGACATTTCAAATTTCAAGTCTCGGGATGCTTGGCGCCGCTAGCATCAAGACCCTGCCACTTCTCCTCATCCCATCCCATACTAGGATCTGTCGCATTACCCGCTTTGCCTTCCTCGGTAAGATTCTTGATGTCGCTCCAGTACTCGAGCTTCTTGCACTCGTTATCAGCTGCCTCGATGGCCTTGAGTAGGTTATTGATCCTGCGTTCTTCGGCTTCCCCTTCCGGCTTCGAGTCTTTCTTGTGTTGTTCACGGTGGTCTTTGGCGGCTTCGAAGCGGTCCATAAGTGTGGAGAGGAGTTGGCGACGGGAATTCTGGAAGATAAGCATCGACATGATGGACGGTATCTGGGCATGTTAGTTATGTTGGAGACATAGGGATGCCATATGCATACCTGTCCTGCAAGGTAGTGCAGTTCCTCGCCCCCATCGTCGATGAATTTGTGTATGTAGATTATCTTCTCTCGGTCGATTGCAGCTTTCTTCAATTTCCTCATGAGTGTGGCAATATCCCTGATTTCCTCGTCCAGACTTGTCTGGGCACTGTCTAGCAAGCCGCTGTTGGTACCGAAGGTCGTCGACCTGACCAATGTAGTGCCGATGCTGAAGGTTTCGCCAAACATGCGCTCCTTTGCGTTCTCCTTGGTCTTGGGTGGTAGTCTCTGCTTCACCCGTCTCCGTAGCCAGCGTCGCCGCCGAACGAAGCTGTGGAACCAAGGGTGGTTGCCGTGCCAGGCTGAGCCTTTGAACAGCAGACTGTACTGCCAACCCTCTTCATCGACATCCAGACTCATGTCGACATACCAGCTCTTCCAGTCCCATACCCAACTTGGATCTGGAACTTGTGCATTTGTGATATTGACGGCGGATGGCCTGAACTTGGCATCCTGCCAGGGCGCAGGGTCGATTCGTAGGTTCCACAGCGCCTTGTTCGAGAATAGCGGTATGCCGAATATGAACCAACCGCGCTGGTTCTCATAAAGGATATCGATGTGCGAGTCTGATGAGGTCGATGGCTGTTCAGGTTGTGTAGCCGTAGTAGGCGTGTTGTCGCCGTTGGACGTGTGGTCGACGAGGCTTATCGTTTGGTCCGCCATGCTGCAGAGCGTGGTGTAAGAATCAAGGAAAGTAAGAGGCGAACGCCGTTGCTATCGTAGATACATGAGGTCGTAGTTAGGCAGGCGCGGCACGCTGCACAGATAGTCGGCAGTCGCTGGAGGGTGGCTCTTAAGGGGCGCGCACAGAGGATTACACACTTGGACGACGCGACCGCAATGCGACAACTATACAAATAAGATTAATGCTACAATGAGATTACAATTAGTGTGTAGAAGCAAGAACAACGAGTGTGTGTAATGTGGATCCGGCCTGTCATTCATCGTAGAGTCAGCTAGTTTGGCGATCTGGTTCGCACGGCAGCGAAAAGCCCGTGCTTCAGCTGTCTACCATTACGTCACACATGCGCTTGTTAGAAACACGCCTTCCAAGGTTCCCCTCCCTCGCACAACTCTGCTTTCTTCATCTTCAATTCGCATTTTATATACCCTGATCATTCTTCAAACCCAACCAACCAACACCACAAACCCCCCATCCCATCAACAATGTCTCGTCGTTTCGCTACATACGGTGGTGTCGCTGCTCTCGGTGGTGTGACTTACTACCTCTACAATGCTGGAGGTGACCCGAAGCTTGCCGAGAAGAAGGCTGAGCGTAAGTTCTGCAGAGGTCGATTGTCTGGTCCATCAACTAACAGCTGCAGACGATGCTGCGACTGCCGTACGCAAGCTAAGAGGCGACTACCCTGGCCAGGACAAGGAAGCAAAGAAGGCCGGCGAGGAGGGCTACGAGGCAGTCCGCGCCAGCGCACAGCAATACGTATGTTCAATGCGATTCCATCCATGTTACTTGTGGCAGTATATTGACCATGGCTAGGCCGACCAAGCCAAGGCGGAAGCAAAGAAGGCCGAGCAAAAGTTCGATGCCTACAGCGCCGATGCGAAGAAGCAGTATGAAGAGGCAAAGGCCCGCGCCGAGCGTGAGCTACACGCAGCAGGCAAGCAGGTCAACGCTGCTGCCAACAAGTTCGATGCCGTTGTCGAGGACAAGGCCGCGAAGACGTCGTCATGGTTCGGCGGACTGTTTGGTGGAAAGTAAGCTCGAAGTGTACAGGACCAGTAATGTAATGATAATGTAACAAGATGAGCCGAAGCTTGTTGTCGAAAGTCTTGCATGGCATTGGAGTATATAGGCGCAGGGCTTTTTGTCTCAATAAGATATGATACTCACGTTCGCTCTCTTGCAAGTCACGTCTCTGTCGTTAGCGTGCAAAGCTTGGACGGCATCATGACAAGGCGCAAAGTCGTCGTTTGTGGGTGGACGAATTTCGCAGAGACATGTCGAAATGACGAAAGCGTAATGAGTGGTGGAGACATGCCGGATGCGCGGGGCAACGACACGCTCAAGTTTCAATTAAGTGGGGCGAAAACGCGACGCGAACGCGCAGAAGCGTAAAGCGCGTCGGACGTGCCTTCCCTTCCCTGTTTTGCACCCCCCTCGGCTCATAAACACTCCTTTGAACCTCATCCTCACACCCACACGACACATCACTTATCGACATTGTTCCAGATATCTCACCCTTGTATCAATCAGAAATATCTTCAACAACAATGTCGCCTATTGCTCCCGGTCAGCTCCCGGCCGAGCTTGTCAACCTTCTCGCACTACACTCATCATTCCTAACGGCGCTGTCGCTGCATTATGCCCACAATGGCACTTCGACACCTGCCGATCTTCGAGACTTGATTGCATCGACCACTTTAGTCTGGCGGCAACGCAAGGTCACGTACGATGATATTCGACTCCTCCTTGGTATTCTCGACCACGGTCCCTCCGGCAACAACAACCCTTATTACCTATCCGACTATGGCCGCGGCAAAATCTGCATTGAAATCAAGGACAACAGTCCGATGATGAATGGCATGACACATATGAATGAACAAGGGCTGCAAGAAATGTTCAAGGAAGGATTAGACACGTTGTGGTCGCAATGGTGTACGTCGCAGATGATGATGGCCCGACCAATTGCGGTGCCCAAGCGCGGACGCGGACGCCCGAAGAAGGCCGACATCAAGCAAGCATGCATGGACACATTCCTCGATGACACCTCCGTGTCCAAGTTCCTCAGCCAGCTTCCTCTCGCCCAAGTCACCACATGCGAATCGCTCACCGCGCTTGCACCGGCACAAGAGAAGGGACGCAAGAGGTTGCGGGAGTTCAAGGAGAGCGTACAGCAAGGTCGTGCGCTGAAGAAGACAAGGTCCACCATCGGAAAGGAGAACGACCTCTCCTTGGGACAGAACCAGCAAGTCCAACCCGCCCAGCCCAAGATTACTGAATTTGCTGCCGTTCGCAAAACCAACCTCCTTGACCGTATTCTCGCCAAGCAGGAGGCTGCAAAGGCTGGCCCCGCAGCACCAACACCTGCTGAACTTCAGAGAAAAGCAGCTCTCCAGCGCACTCCAGAAGTCATTGGTGTACTTTCTCTACTCTGCGCGAACAGACCCGGATCGCGCGTTTCGTTCTCGACAACCACCCTTTTGCAGGCGATACAGGGCTCTATTCGGTCTCCAATCTCAAAGGAAGAGGCGATGAAGTGCGTGGAAGTTTTAGCAAGCGAAGTTGCCCCAGGATACGTGTCGGTCGTCAGTATGGGCAGTATCTCGAGTGTCGTCATCAACCAGATGATGAGACCTACGGATATCAAGAGCAGGCTTGTTGCGCTGGGCGCTTGAAGGCCTGTTTTTTCTGTTCAGATTATTACCCTTCAACCTTTTTGTTGTAAGTTGATGACCTCATTCGGAGTCACTTGGCCAGTGTTTGTTTATCACATCATCTTAGCGAGCGTAGTTTCGTTCTTGCGCTGTACAGTATCTTAGCCCTATAGCATATTCTAATTGCAGAACATTCACTTACAATTCCGTTCCTTCATTCTCTTCATTTTGATACGATTTTGTCCCAGCGCCAGATACCCGACAACGTCTTGCTATGCGTGGCTTGCCGCGTCTTCTGACAATTGACAGCTGTTACACGTCAGATCTTCACACCTCGCTTCACTTATTAGCACATGTCCGCGTAATCAACGCGGTTGTCACATATCATCACACAATGGTCTTCACAGCATCGACCTTGCAATGGATGCCTTTTGCCGATGCAGTACACGAAATCACCAACGTCCCGATACCTTGCTGTACTGTGTCAGTGAATAAGCACAAAGGCCACCATAGAATCGAAGACGACCTGGCTTTTGAAACAATGACAGCCAAGCACGAACGACCTGTTACAGAAAACGTTCAGACAAGACCACTTCAGCGAAATGACAGGACTCAAGCATTGACGGAAGGCAGACGTTCCATTGTTCTGGAAGAAACTGCCGCGTCAATGAACAACGCGTTCGTCCACGTTTCCCAATATGAATGTTTCCTGCCTGAGGCTGTGGGGGTCTACATGTACCATGCGCGTTCCCGATAAGCATCTGACAGCTTCACAAGAATTGATCATTATTCAAGAGTAACGAGGAGTATAATACATCAAATCGTTGATCACTCTGGCAGGTCCTACTCTGTGCCATACATCAACTTTGCAACCCACATATTAATCGCTTTACCAACCTCGGCATCATAATCACTATTGCCAGTCAGCCATCATGAAGCCCGCAACCGTCCTCTTGGCCATTTCAACCATCTTCTTCTCCACCACAGGCGCACAAGTGCACCCACACATTCACAAACGTTGCGCTGCCAACAGCACTATCTCAGCCTCCGCTTCAGCAGCCCCACCACTAACAACACTCTCCACATCCTTCATGCTCGCTCCAACACCATCAGCTTTACCGACCACCCTCGCAACCTCGATCGGGTCGGCATCCCCACCCGCTTCATCCGCTTCAGCTTCAGCATCGGCTCCTTCGCCAGCAACCTCATCTACCTCCGCAGATGCAGGGACAGGAAAACAAGTTACTATTAACCCGGGTGATACGCTTGAGATCATTGCTGCGGCGAATGGAGTGGGCATCTGCGATATCGCCAAGGCGAATGCAATTCAGGATCCAAATTTGATATTTGCAGGTGAAATGTTGACGATTCCCGTGCTGGTGGGAGAGAAGGATGATAGGAGTTGTTTACCATAGGTGTTGGTGGAGAGCGGAATGAGGATAAGGAGGAAAACAGGTCATAAGGTGATGGGATGACGAAGCGTTCGTGTGTATATATTCAAGGCTTACAAACGTTCTACGAAGATGCCAACGTACTCACTGGTGTTTGGCTTTCGTGTGATACTGGTGTGCAAAGGGATTGATGATGAGATTGGCTGTGTAGGTGTGTTCTAACACTTTTCGATTTTTTTCTTCTCAGTGGTAACAGAGCAGTGACATTATGTATAGGCTGCAAAGATGCCCTTTGGACAACATATATAGTACTTCGATTTGGTGAAGGAAGAGTTGTTTCTAAATCAGGTTTAATAAAGCCAGACTTTTCGTTGCTTAGGTTTGTAATATGGCGCCGAGGTTTTGGAGACGGACAATCTTATGCAGATTCTGAAGGACTAATTTTCGAAGTCATACTTCAACTCAAAGCGATCGGCTCGACAGATACTGTGCGCTGTATAGTCAGTTATTGGCACATCTCTGTAGACATAAGATCTAAGGCTATGATCTCGGCATAGACACAAAAAGCATCACATAATACGACAACTTTGGGCTGTAGGATAACCGAGAAGCCGCTGACTGTGAAAACAATGTATATTCGGAAATGTCATTAGGCGGGACATGCGGCCGTGGTAAGCAGGGCACTGCCAAAAACATTCATCCATCATCCACCACCAAGACGACCACCCCACACACATGTACAACGCGACAACAAAAACGAAAGCTTCTCAAGCCCGACGTGGGGGTCGAACCCACAACCTTGAGATGTACTGAGTAATCGTGTCTGTTAGACCGTGAAAGACTAAGAGTCTCACGCTCTACCGATTGAGCTAGCCGGGCTGGTTTTAAGCCTGTTGATGGAAATATGATCAATAAGTAAATTCATAATCTAAGCATATGCATCTCTCACGCAGTAATGCTGCCTTCAAGCATAATCTTTCTTGTGGTGCGCGGCTAATGTTGGTGGCCGCATATGGCCGTGGGGTCTGAACATTCATCCGACAACCCCAAACTTCAAAAATCTGCGACTCCACACATCATGGTTGGAATTTAATGCTCGGCAGTTTGAACGAATGCGCTTGACCTGCCCTTCCTTATTGCCCCTATACATCGTGTATTACATCGCTTACATCAGTGCTCCCTGACCATATCCCTTGCTGCTGCTGGGGGAACTTCGGGCCCAAGACGCCCGCGGACCCTATACTTTTAGCGACCCGACCAGCACGATCAATGATGCCGTCCCCAAAATATCACGTCAGCAGGGTCACCACTCGATCGCGAAAACATTGATGGGGGACGGGACGATTGGTACAGGTGATGCAAGAATTTGGACTACATCACCTCCCTTACGTTGCGGTTTTTGGGACACTGATCGATTCAAAGTCACTCTGCGTTGCAGCAATCATCATGTACACCGCGTAGCCAAAGGAACTGACTTGGGCACCCTTGATCGGACGATCGGACGATTTGTATTTGAGTATACGACGGCTGAAATGGGGTCTATCCACTTCGGCGGCGTCGCGGGGTTCGCAAACTTGTCGTTAAAGACACAGCCTGGATCAAGTGTGCGGCGTTCAAAGAAGTATACGAGGCCTAGATGCGCCAAACGAGGTGGCCACGTACCCTGCTTGCGCCTCGTACTGGAATCTTTGAGGCCATCGTAGAGCGCTGGCGCAGCAGAACCCGTTAACCCGCGTACCTGGCAGCATTGGTAGCATAGGATCCGGCATGCCGCTGCGACACCGACACAACATCGGTCCCAATCCTTCTGAACCACGTTTACGTAGATGTGACGGAGGCTTGTTTCCGCGTCTAGACCACCTCGCTGGAAATCGGGAGCTGAATAGGAAAAACAACTTTTTAAACTCCGTGACAAAGACCCTAGGACAGTTCCTGCGTCAAAGAACTGGAATATCGCGGAGAAAACGCCACGTTGAAGGAAAAGCAATGTTTATCTTCCTTGGACCCTAGTTAACGATGGCGATCGAGATGTCTGCATGATGTCGCTGAGATGAACTGAGAATGGGACAACCACAAGGAACTCACGACAGTCACACGTAGGACTCTTGGATTATATGACAGTTCCCAATGACCTACAGGGATGAGTCGTCCGTCCCATGACAGCCGTCACATTCGAGCAGACAGGATTAGTCCCACATGTCAATCTACAGTTCAACTCACTACTCCAAAGTAGAGTTCGTGCAGTTCCACATCGAGTGTTTCAGAGCATCGTGGACCTGGTACCTGCATAGCCTCATGTTCAGAGATGAGGCGCCCCTTGGACTTTGCAGCATTTAGGTGCGTACCACAGTAAGCACCGAGACAGTTTTCACAAAGTATGGGACCTCCGGTATGACGAACGTTTCCAACACTATAGATGCCGTAGAAGCCCCTATAGTTGGCATCGGATCTACATAAGATCTACGGGCTCGGTCTAAGCTCCGGTGTCCTAAGACGAATGTTAGCTTCAATCCGCATACACGAACGCGGACGAGCGCTGGGTGTCGCACCAAGTAGACTTGATAAAAATCCATCTTCACTTTGCCATCTGCGTCCTTGACTAAGTGCGCCCTTGCAGCCCAGTCTTTGCTAGACTCACCCCCTGCCTTGAAGCCGTACTTGACCGTTCCATATAGCATTACCTCGTCTGCGTTCGGACCGAACGGAAATATCTGGAGTGGCTTGTGCGCCCTGCTAGAAATCTTTTCCCACATGGCTTTGCGCAGGGACAGAATCTCTGCAGCCAAGAATCAGCCTCGCAGAAGGTATAAGGGGATTGAAACGTCAAGGCGCGGATTGGATCTCAGGGCTGGATGGAAAAAGCAACTGAGACAAACCTTCTCGGCCCGCTACCCTCTTGGAGGCCATGACGAGCGTCGCATCCTTAGTGAAGTAATCGACGTATTTCTCATGCGCTTCAGCCGTATCGGACGTAGCGTAGAAATCCTCGAAGAATTCCTTGTATGCAGGGTCAAACTCAACAGCCGGCGGGTATTGAGACGCGTAGGAAGTCATTTCGTGTTCGATTAGTGATGTGTGGGATCATGGATTGAGGGTGTCTATTGTTGCGGCTCGTCAAACGTCCAGCGAAGGCTTGCTTTCTAAGTCTCGTATTGCTTGCCTGACGTAACGAACAACAAGCGCCTCCCGGCGGCGGGCCGGGCGGGAACGGCGTTCTGCAATTGCCAACTTCAACATCCAGTTGTTCTCCACATACACTCATTCGTGCGACTCACGTCAGTTTACCAGCTTCAAAGTTCATGATAGAAATCTTGTGTAACTGACTTCATCGTCGCCTTGGCAAGGGGTACTGTCATCATAACAGCGTCAGCCTCGAACATCTCCAGGCTGTGGTACCCGAGCGGCACTGACATCCTACACTATAGTAGCGCCAACCGTTCAAAAGAGACGCCGACTTCCAGCGCGAAGTCCCGCGCAGTTGCGTAATAGTAAAGCACCCTTGGAATCGTTCCGCAAGGTTACCATGTCTTCTCGCCTACTTTGCCCTCGGTCGCGGTCGCGGCCTCAACAACACCCGGAGTACCTGCGCAAGCGCAGCGAAGCTTTCACCGAGGCATGGATGTGTTGTCATCACGGTTAATACCGTGAACCCAAAGAAGTCCAACTCACCGAAAACGAGATGAAAAATCTGTTCGGACGCTGCTTCCGGACAGATTCAGGATGCATGTGTCCGATTTAGAATCTTAGGTTTGAACTTCGATCGCAACTACCGTAGATCACAACGCCTATGATGTCTTCGCGCGGGACAGCGGTATCGAGATTACAACTGTTTCTTGATACGAGCTATGATGACTCGATATACACAGAGGTCGGAGCCCTGTCCATTTCGTAGTTCTCAGCCACAGCCTCAGGCTACGTCTCGAACTACTCCGGAGATACTTGTCAAGTCCAAGACCCGTTTAGTGACCGTTCCTAGTAGTGGACCCACCGCAATAGCTCAGGCTCTGGCATCACACGGACTGTGGATCTGTCGGCGATGCTGGCAGAGGTCCAATCTGTCAGTTGCTCTGTGCCCGTGCAAGTACGTGAAGAGACTTGCAAGGGTAACGCTATGAAACTAGCTAATAGATTTCAGACTTCACGTTTGGCAACGCATATACGAATCCGAATTTCTTGCCTCTAGATGCCTAAGGGGCTATGGGCTCTGGACAACTCTTCAGCTCATATCGCCAAACGCCGTAGTGATGCAACACAACCAAAGATCTACCACCTCAGACTCTGGACGCCGTCCTCCGAACAGGGTAAAAACGCAAATCATTCCTGGAGCTAAATCTCGACGGGAACTAGTATCTAAAGCTCCGTTGCGATTCAGTGGTGTGGGAAGTTTCTAGATCTAGCCTTCGCCCTAGACGTCACTGTAGACCACGTCTGTGGCGCAATACTCAACATGGTTCCTACACGTGCATGTCGCACTCCATGGTGATCGACGCCCGGGGGTATACCCACAGACTACTAGGTGGATCCGATAATGGCACATAGGAGATTTCATAGTCGGATCGCTCGATGTGGCTGTCCGACTATCCGGCTAGAGAGAAGTCCTACCAGGTCTGGAGACTGGCTCCCGAGTATTAATGGGGTACACCCTGTCCAGTATTTTACAGACATAACTACCCCAGGAGTCTCCCTCATTCGGATTAACAACCGCCCATCATGACTTCTCCATCTGGTCTTCCTTCCGGCACTCACGAGACACACTACATGGCAGACCATCGTCGACGTTCCAGTGAGATCATCCCCACTCAGGATGTTACCGTTCCAGCACATCTGCTTCGGGCCACGGGTACTCTTGGATCAAAACGCGACAACACGCATACTACACATACAGGAGCCTGGGAACCACAAGCGGAGAACCCTTTCCTCGACTCTGAACGAATCGGAAGCATCCGTCGTCGTCCCACACAAGACTCTGGCGGCCCACAAAGGAACGGTACTCAGCGCTCTACCAACCTTGAACGCACAGAAACGCATGGCGAACGAAGGAGGAGTAACCGGTTCTCCTGGTTCAGCAACAGTGGTGCAAAGAGAAACTCGCAACAGAGCGGGGCACTACCATCACCAACTGAGGAGAACCTGAGACCCTTCCGGACCCTTTCCTACATCGCTGGGTCAACCGATGTTCTAGCTCTGAGCCCTCGAGGAAGTCGTGCACCATCACCAAGCTCACTCAATAGAGTTCCTACCGCGTCTACAAAGTCAAAGTGGTCCAATGACGACCCCTTCGCGACGAAACCCAACTCAGTCAGAAGCAGCAGAGACAACCCTTTTGCGACTGAAAACAACTCGGCCCGAAACTCTACAGATTCCTTGCCTCAGGAGCCTGAAGCCGCACACCACGCGGGTCGTCCCCGGAAGAACACTCTACAGTCTGTCGTCGATGGCATGGTACCCAACGCTCTCAAGCGGAGCATGACCAATGCATCCTACTTCAAAAGGAGTGAGATGTTTGACACCTACGAGAAGGCGAAGAAGAAGGGAGCAGAGATCCAACGAAAGAAGTGGGTGCAAATCACCTTTGAGTACGCCATCTATGCTTTCCTGATACTCTTCGTCTACTTCGTCTTGATCGGAGTTCCTCTATGGAACGGTGCTGTGTGGTGGCTTTACTGGGTTGTATCCACCAAGTTCGTTATCGCTGGTGGTTTCGGTATCGTGCTTGGAATCGCACTATTGTAAGTTTGTCAGAGCACCCTCGCCATCTCTCCAGTGATTAACATACCTTAGTTATGCGTTCGCTCCTTTACTCATCCTTTTCGAGAAGGATCCACCTCCCGCCGACTTCTCTACAGAGACCAAGTTCCATTCCAACGTTGACGATACCTGCCTCATGATTCCGTGCTATAAGTCTGCTGGACTCATTGCCAACACACTCGAAGCTGCCCTGAAGATCTTCCCTCCATCGAACATATTCGTCATCGCCAACGGAAACAGCCCGACGCCACTCGACAACACGGAAGAGGTCTGCCGTCCTTACGGCGTGAATCATATCTGGTCGCCAATCGGATCGAAGATCGTTGCTCAATTTGTTGGTTGTTATGCTGCGAAGAATTTCAAGAACGTTTTGCTCATTGACGATGACTGTGCGCTGCCTGACAACTTCCCTGTTGTCACTGAGCGCTTGAATGGCAAGGTCATGTGCATTGGCTACACCATCAAATCCGTCGGGCCAAACTCTACAAAGGGCAACCTCTGCCAACAAGCTCAGGATCTCGAGTACAAGCTCAGTGGTATTCAGCGTGAGTTTGCCGGTAAGGTCGGCTCCGCTACCTTCCCACACGGAGCCATTTCCCTCTGGGACCGTGAGCTACTTGTCAAGACCTTCCACGAACACCCCGGCTTCAGTGTGTCCGAAGACTGGTTCTTTGGTCATGTAGCCCGCAAGCTTGGATGTCGCATCAAGATGTGCTCGCAAGTCTTTGTTGAAACCGAAACACCTACCGCTGTTTTCATCTCTGGCGGTGGCTCCCGTGGTGGTTTCGGTGAGATGACCATTTTCTCGCAACGTTTCAAGCGCTGGAACTTCTTCTTCGTCAACGGCATGTGGTACAACATGGCATACATTTTCGGTAGCTGGAAGCTCGGTTGGTGGGAAATTGGTGCAAAGATCTTCGTCTTTCAAGAGGTAAGCAATCCGTAGTCTATTTCGCTCATCCAACATACTAACAACACACTAGGTCTACGAAACTCTGCTCTACCTTCTCACACCTTTCATCCTACCTATCTCGTTCTACGTCCGTCCTTCGTTCTGCGGTTACCTTCTCGCCGCCACAATCGTTATGTACCTCATCAACGTCATCATCTTCAACGAAGTGCACCTCCGCCGCAAGAACGAGCGTGTTGGCTGGCAGCTCATGTACATCTACTACCTACCGTACAAGATCGTCTTGACCTTTATCAATGTCGCAAGCTGCTACTGGTCGCTGTACAAGTACGCCAAGTACTTCGCCAAGCGTCACCCCAAGGTTATTGAAGACGACAAGGCTGTCGAGGTCGTCATTCGCCTTGAGGAAGAGAAGGCTGATCCGGAGTGCGGTCTTGGTCGACGAATGACTGTGCGCACTGTTGGCACACGGTCCCGCGCCAGCATGGACGAGGGTGACGAGGGTAGGCCCTTGTCCCCTGATGCCATCGATGTTGGAGGTGCTTCTTATGCGATCGTTACCGAACCTGACGATGTCCACTCTCCTGGTCTTCACCACGCCCCCACTCACCATGTCAGCCAGACAAGGCCAAGTAGCCCTCTGCTGCAGAGTGAGGGTATTGCTGCAAGGGATTACTTTGATGTAGCACAGGATGCGAACATCGATGTGGAGAAGCAGAACAAGAGAACCAGCCGTTTGAGTGGCTGGAGTCAAAAGTCACAACGCAAGAACGTTTTCTAAATTTCTTTTCCTTTTCTTTGGGTTTACATTGGAGTTCCGGTTTACTGGGCGGCATTCTGTTATATACCTCTCGCGCATACTATAATCTCTTTAACGGCCGAAGAAATCAATCATAATTCAAGTTCAAATACTCTCCAAGTCTGTGCGAAGGGTTTCTAGAAGTGATATCGACTGGTATTAACCATCACAGGAACTGACCTCATCCAGCGAATCCTGTATCATAGATCACTTATGGATCCACAAATCAGCACGGATGGCGGCTTGTACTCGACATGCCAGCGAGTAGTCCATATTCTGTTGTTGATTGTTGACTGTGGCAACAACTGGTGCTCATATCACCTTCTGCAACACCCTTATAATTTCTTAAGCATCAGCCGCCGCAACTCCTGCTTCATTTATCCCACTCTTTTGGCCACTTGCGCCTCCGCCCCGTCCTCCACCTCTACCACCTCTACCACCCCTGCCACCCCGCTTCCCCTTCTGCACATCACCAACCTCTTTCTCCCACTCTTCAATATTCACAGTCACGCCTTCGGGTAACTTCCCATCACTCATCAGTACACCACCATCCTTCTTCCTACTTTCGACGCGCTTGAAGAATTCATACGAAAGGAAGCCTTGCTCATTACCCTCGGTGAGTATGACACCGTTGTCCGAGACGAAAAACTTGATGCCGGCAGTAAGAGCAGCGTTGATATCGATATAAATCAGAATCGACGAGTTCTTGCGCATGCCTGAGATGACTGGCGCAGACTCCTTTTCTTCGGCAGTAGGATCAGTGGAAGATTCAAGTGCTTTGAAACCTGCCGGGAGACCAGATGCGAAGTGAATATGGTTCCGTCCCATGCGCCGCAGACCGCCGCTCTTTAGGATGAGATTCCAGGCGCGCTCGTCGGTGCCGTGAACAACGGTTTCGGGAACATTGCCTGTTTCTTGGGTAATGGGGACGAGGAGGCCTTCTGAATCGACTTTGATGGAGTGGCCTTGGTTCGCGCGTATCAGGTAGTCGGCTGGGTCGTCTGATTCTGGTACAGTTTCCAACGATTCTGAGTTTGGTTGCTCTTGAGATAGCTCTGTGGTTCCAGGTGTCTCCTGGTCGAGTGAGGATGCTGGAATCATGGAGTAGCGTTGTTTGTCGTTATTGGCGACTATGTCGCGCAGCTCAGGAAATGTGACTTTTAAGCTCTTCAGAGTTTTGGTGTTTAGCTGAAAACGTTAGCTCGTCGTGTGGTCTAAGCTACGAACTCATAACATCATTCGAAACCTTGATGTATATGATAAGTCATGTCTTTATGTTAAGCATATATTCAACGTCGCCGGGCGTTGATTGGGAACAAACTTACCGCTTCCTGGACATTAACATACCCACCCTTTCCCAACTTTAAGCCCTCCTGACTCGCACCATGTCTCAATAACCAACTAACTTTCCTTGAGACCTGCACTTCTCTCGGTTGATTGGCAGGATTGCGACTACCGCCGCCTCGACCACCTCTTGCCATATCTTTGAGCGATCTAGTGAATAGTCGCGAAATTTTTGCGAAAGGAAACCTTTGAACAGGATTTCAAAGTCTTTAGAGGATTATCTGTGGAGTTCTGAGTCGAAGTGATGCCCAATGAGTGAAAGATGGTAGCCTTGGGGATGATGGATTGGTAAAGTAGGCGCAAAACGTTAGTGCGAGGACCAACTTTTGTGTGGTGACCCCGCAGTGATTGGATGCGCTAAGTTCATCAACACCATGAACGCAACTGCGTCACGAAGACGTTCGATCAGAATCGATAATCATGGGCTCAACATTTACCTCAAATCTTGTCTCTTGGCATTGATCTACTGTAAACGATGTGCAACTTTGGTCATATTGGCTCGAGGTTATTTGTGCTACTGGTACTGAAGGAGATGCCTAGTCTCAACCACGTCTAGCATTTGAAAACACACTAAACAAATACACTGTGCAGTAAGAAGCATGTATCTGGCAAGTCACGAGAGACTAAGGCGATGGTCATGCTAATCAGTCTCCTATTCCTATTGAACTAAGATACTTGAAGCCTCATGGAAAGAGACAGGACTCTGCTGCCAACTGCATATCTTGCCGTATAATCCTTACTGGATTTCAAAGTTATTCGCCTGTCCGTAAGCAGCAGAGGCCACCGTGAGTATCCACATGAACTGGTGACCAGAGGTAATTGAGCATGGCTCTGCTTCCAGTCCATGAGCACTACATATCATCGACTCCATAGATAACGCTCCAGGATCGCTCACAAAAGTCATTCCGATACGCCTCAGTTCGCCTTTGACAAATTGCTCTGTTTGTAGAGTGCTAGTTTTACGTCTGTAAAAGCGGCAGAAAACCTGTTCATCGACATGGAAAGTGACCTTTTGCAGGCTCTTGGGTGATCGTTCAAGGTAGGCCAACCCGAAATGGACGTCCTGGACAGAGAAATTTATCCTATCGTAGTTGAACCAAGCGTGTCTTATATTCAGACTCAGTATTTGCAGCATGGGCGAGAGACTATATGGTAGACCGTTTGCTTGACGACTGCTTCTTGCTCTATGTTGAGGCCGACAAGAAGAGAGTACGACTGACCTCGTATAGGAAACTGTCCAGTACGCTTCTTGTAGTATAACAAATGACTCACGTAGTGTAGAAGCAATGGTATTGACGACAATGTACAACTTCATCGTTCCATCCAACGCCTAATATTGATAACCCTGAGTTGAACTCATCAGTAGTGGCTGCATACCGTCGTAGCTATCGAGCTCCTGCATCGCATAGAGTATGGCCACACACATACACCATGACGTACCCTGTATACAACCCCATCAGCATGCGCAACCCTCTTTGGGACCCTCCGTCCGCGCACTGCCTAGATTTACACGCGCCTCCTCCTGCCTGTTCAAGTTTGTTTGGCCCCCAACACCACGAGGGCCCTTCAAGCTCGTCTCCGGAATGGCATTTGCGATAGCAGTAAATACCTCGGCAACGTTATGCCCTGTCTTCGCACTAGTCTCGAAGAACAACAAGCTCTCCTCATCTGCGTATGCCTTTGCAGTCTTACTTGGTACTCTCCTCGAGCTGACTCCATCTTCTGTTGGCTCCTCTTCGCCCTCAGCTGCGGGGGCAGCATCTACGTCTTCGGCGTTCTCTTCCTCGGCGGCGGTGGCCAAATCAAACTTGTTTCCTACGAGTGCGATAACGATGCCTGGGGAGGCTTGGCGGTGCAGTTCGGCGACCCAATGCTGGGCTTTTGTGAGGGAAGAGGGCTTTGTGATGTCGTAGACGACGAGGGCGGCTTGGGCATTGCGGTAGTACATGGGCGCGAGCGAGGCGAAGCGTTCTTGGCCTGCGGTATCCCAGATCTCAAACTTGATGGTTCGGGTTGGTAGGTTGCATTTCTGCGTCAGGAATGCGGCTATTGAGCGGCTTGTTAGTATTGACTTGGTGAGATATGAAGTGGGTGGTTGCTAGATTGATATCGTCTGGCGTGGCTGTGTACGTACCTCCGATAGTAGGCTCCTTGTTCTCTTGGAAGTCGTTATTGACGAAGCGCATAACGAGAGAAGACTAGAAGATGGTTAGCTGGTAGTCGCAGCTATCTTCCGATTCTCCATACCTTTCCGACAGCTGCTTCTCCTAGCAGCACGAGCTTGACGCTGCTGCTGGGCTTGGGTTGCGCGGAAGCGTCCGCCATGGTGAAGTCGTGCGAGGGAAGTGATTCGAATTTTGCAGGGTATGTAGTGGCGGATGAGGTTCCTTAGATGTACGAAGTAACGCGCGACTTCTGTTTACGATGTGATGGTGCGGTTGCGATGCTGCAGGCAGATGGTTTGTACATGGCCGAGAGCAGTGACGAACACATGCACGTGACCAGATTACTAAGATCGGAACGCCTTTGGCATCCAAAAGCATTCCGATACATCCTACCTCTGTTGTCTTACATACCGACATTGTGCTTCCACCAGCACTGGTTCTCAAAGCATCAAAAGGAAAACAGTCGCTTTTGCGTCTCGGCAATATCTTGCTCATGAAGGGTTCGCATAACATCCATTGCTATGCGAGATGCATTATGACTTTGAGTGCACTCGCGCTCAACAATGCCAACTCTGCAAGGTGGTGAACAAAAGTTGTTCAGATTGCTGCACAGTGAGCAATTATGTGGTGTGGAACGTGCATAGCTTCTGGGTGCAACTGCTTGTACTCGCAGCAACTAACACCCTGACCGCCTGTCCTTCTTATCGATGCACAGCTATGCAAAAGACAAAAATATGCAAGCATACCACCAGCCCTGTTACGTATCTCGTGTGAGAAATCACGACAGCCGTTGTCATCCGGTATACGGATATAGAGATAGCTCCGCAGGCATCCGTAAGGCCTCATCCTACGACGCAGCAACTTGACTTTTTTTTTTTGTGATCAAGTAATGCCTGACGTCATATTACCGATTTGAAACCTACTTGGTTTCCGACGGAACTCACCCACGACGGTGAGAGTGGGCTGTGCGGATCTGTTCCAAGGAACGGTGAGGCTAAGTCCTGACACGTGAAATAGACAAGCTCAATCCTGGTTGATGCGGAGGTTTATGCCGCTGTGGACCATTCTCCTCACTGAGAGATAACTTTACATACAGACACCGGAAACTGTTACTCGGCAGGTCGAAAAGTTGCAGTCAAGATCAACGTGTAAGATGGAATTGTCTATGTCGCAATTATGGATACGGTAATCTGAGGGAATGCAGATGGTGGCGTCGTCGACCCCTCAGCTAAGGCGCGCAATCTGCCAATGAAGCTATTCCAAGGCCACGGGACTCCCGAATCGGCAGGCGCGAATTGACCCCTCAAGCACCTGCATAGGCATAAACAAACCACCGGAACGTCTTACACAAGCCCAACTTACACAATTCCAAAGACGCAGAGTCCATAGCGTTCTGCCAAACGGCTGGTCTACCGCAGGTTGTTATTGGTGCTGGTAGGCTACACCGACAAGTGGATAACACACGTGTATGGCATTCTGCTGCCCGGACTCCGAAGACAACCAACAATGCCATTACAAGCGGCTATCCGTCATCGTGGCACTCTATCTATCCCTGCGACAGGCCACGATCTCGGCCTGTTGATCTTGGCCGATCCCAGCACTTGTTGGACGACAGGATGGTCCAGCCATGCTCTGCAGGAGCGCGCGGTTTTTTTTGTACGGCTGGCAGCTTGTCATGTGTCTTTCACTGTGTGGTGCAGGTGCCGCACCACTCAACATGTAGCGACCCCACAGCAGCGAACAAGACGACAGGGTGGTGGCTTGCGCGATAATGTGCAGCACAGACGCCGTGTGTGCGACCGATCGCGATGACGCCAAGCGCACGTCTCGCTATCCGAGGGCGATGAGGAGGGCTCGAGTGGAGTCTGACAATATTTTTGCAGTAGCATGGCAGAACTGCTCAACGCCATGCAGATGTTACGAGAGAGTGTGGATGGCGCAAACACATGTTGGCAGGCGATGATCTCTTGTGTAGCGCGCTCTGCTCGACGCAGCAGCGATCGGCTCGACTTAGCCACAGCTCTCCAGACAAGCGCTCGGTTCCCCGTGTCCTTGATCCGCCCGAACCGGACTGGCCCAAGCGGCCATGGCAAAGTAGTTGGGGATCGGCGTTCCCTATTGCGGGAACAAGTGTCTTGACATCAATTCATGCTCGAATCACAGAAGCGGGGAGGCACTCTGGATGGCGCACTAAGAATGTTCCCTCGATAACCTGCGTTGCGCCAGGAACACGCACAAAGGGTTCCTGGATTTCTGCACGGCGACGCGCACAAGAGGCAGGAGAAGCAGCCAGAGTCAGAGGTGCAATCGCTGAAACATGCAATCAGAGCGCGAGGGAGATGCTGCGTCCCATGTCCCTCCACGGACCAGTGCGGCCTTTATAGAAAGTGGCAGCATGGGAGGCCTCGTTTGTCGCTTCAGCCACGGCATTGCCGCGTACCTTGAGGGGGAGAGGCGGCCAGGGTTTACTTATCAGTCACGTTGGTTCGGGCGTGGGCTGTGAGCGTCCGGCTGACCCCAGATGCCGCGTGCCATGTTTGCGACCAAATAATAAAAAGTTCCTGGCGTCTGCAATTGCTGCAACAATAATCTCACTCTCACTCCTTCTTCCCAACCTTAGTTGCTGCCGCTATCGGGTCTGAAACTGGGATATTTGGCCGCTCTTCTGAGGCTGCGCAATCGAGACTCTCTGTTGGACACAGTAACTCAATATCAGGAGCTCGGGCATCACCCCACTTGTCGAATAGCATTCCGGGACCTGTCCACACGCTTTATTTTTGAATCGAGCGCCTCTTCAGCTAGCAGACGCCTCTCGCACACATTTTGGATTATTATTTCTACCCGCCCGCCCCTGCGCTGCCCTGCATTGTCTCTCAGCCGCATCTCACTTTATAACCTCCGACACCTCGGAGGCTGTGCAACAATTCCCGCTGCCTTGCTGACGAAGCTGGAAGACGAAGCAAACACCGAGGCCGGCAACTTTTTTATTTTGTAGCAATCATGACTGTCCTCAAGGTACCTATACTGCTTCCCAGCAATTGCATGCCCCCCGAGTTGCGCTGACCGTGCCGCCTGCCAGGAATCCATCAACGTCCGACCAGCCAGCCAACAACGACACTCGTCTAGCACCATGGCCGGCTCACTCCCCAAGAACCGCCCACACTCGCACTCGATATCCGCCGGCAACCTGAACCCAGCGCATCGCGTAACACGCAGGAAGAGCATGAGCCAGACACCCGTCACCAATGTTGCGGCCATTGCGGCTGCAGCCAAGGGCATGTCGGGGGCGCCCCTGGATAGTAGTAGTAACGGATCGCGCCGCCCATCCAAGCCGACATCGCAGTTCAGGGGACCCAGCATGGCACTCAACTCAACAATGGCATCGAGTATGCCTGGCAATGGCTCGCACTTCGGTCCCAGCAGTTATGGCGCGGCGGCGGCCAAGAGCGAGGCTCTGACAGACGGCCCGACACTCGCAACGATGCTGGAGCAGGACAAGGCCAACTCCAAGTCGCGGAACCGTCGCGCGAGCGAGGGCTCTCGTCTGTCCAAGGGCGACGGCAAGCGAAGTGGTAGCGATCTGAGATGTGAAAAATGTGGGAAAGGCTACAAGCACAGCAGCTGTCTGACCAAGCACCTGTTAGTAACCCTAAGCCGTAGATGGCCCTCCCACATACTTTCATGCCTCATGACGAATGCCCTTTCCTCACTCGCACGCACACTTAGACTGCAATGCTTCATGATAGTTCCGCGTTGACTTTTCTTCTAGTTGGGAGCACACGCCTGAATGGCAATACACATCTAAGCTGCTCATCTCCAAGCACCAGCAGGTGCAGCTCCTCGAAGCTGCCTCTGTCCTCGTCGCCATGAACAAGGAGAGCGACGGCGAAAACAGCGACCGCTCGTCTCCTCCGGCCTCGGGCTCGTCCGACCTGCGTGAGGAGTTGAGCTCCACTGAAACTACCCCGCCCCCACAACTCGACGACCATGCCGTAGGCTCTTACCCTCACTCGCATTTTGGCACCCGCTCCATCAAGCGTTACTCCGCCAACAGCTCTGCCTACAGCCAATCCTACCAGTCGACCGTCTTTTCCGACAACGGGAACGGCCACTTCCGCCAGTGGAGCAACGTGTCTGACCGCCCCACCACGTCAGGTACCTCGGTTGCCGGCTCATATCACGATGACGGTAATGACCATGCCGACCTTGCTGCCGCAGTTGGTTTGTTGAGCTGCTCCTACGGCACTCCCAAGACGGGACCAACTGCGCTCCCGCCGGACGTGCCGCCCGTGCCACCCCTACCAGCAAAGTATTTTGACTTGAACGCCCGTACCTTGTCCGGTAGCACCACCGTCCAAGCGCAGCAGTCGAGCATACGCAACAGCTACCGCCATAACAGCGAGAGCAAGGACGTCGACATGGACGACGACCACTTCGCCGATGAGGAGGACTACCGCTACTCCAACTCGCGCAGCCGCGGCCGCATCGATGAGGACGACGACGAGATTTTCGGAAGGATGGAGGAATAGAAGCCGTCTGCGCTCGCCCTTCATGCCTCCTTCACGACGTCCCGACCTCTCTCTTGCCATTTTTTTTTCCCATCATCATCTTATCTTTCCACCGTTCAATCCGGCTCTGTACCACAAACCAAATATACCAGCTATTAGCAATCTATCTCCGCGAAGGAAGAAAGACCCAGCCTGGACACCGAGGAGAGGGCCGTCGACCATCTCAACACCCAAAGTCGACGACGCCCTTGAGGTTGAAGTTCAGGTCATCATATCCGAAACTGGACGTCTTTTCGCTTTGCGTCGAGAGCCTAGCACATGCAACAAATATCCCGGAGTTTCTCTTTTCGATTTATCGTCTCTTGCCTTTTCTTTTATCTCTTCAAACAACCTTCAGCCTATTTTAACAGAAACTCATATAACTTTGCCAACAACTTTCTCGACGACGACCAGGGTGTCTCGTATCCAACGTGGTTGCGCTGGACAGCGTGGCCTGGATGGATGGGGGAGGGGAGAGGACTTCCATGTGTATGGTTCAGCCATCTCTTGTATATCCGGCTGTGGAGAAACCTTTGAAATAACTTGAGAGAGGAGGAATCAAGATTGAATGCCAAACAAACATTTCAGTCCAAGGAAACAAGACCAGCATTAGCTCTGCCGTGAGTGAGGATTCGATGTGCTTCTTATTGCGGACCGGTATTGTGAACGCCCGAAACCCAAAGCTGACGAGAGATTCCAATATATATACCAAACCTTGATAGATTGAAAGATAAGAGGAAAGCGGGGGGGAGGGGAGAGGGGAAAACGGTCCTTTTAGCATCTTGTTGAGTATCGCGTACCGCTGGAAGGCCTTAAACATCTCGCCGAGATTGAGCTGAGAGCTGAAGCGGGTGGGCTGATGAACACGGTCCAAAACAAAACGTGCTTTACCTTCCTCAGCTCATGGCTAGCTTGGAATCCAAGATCCGGGGCGCCGGGCTTGTTGTTAGTTCAACACCTAGCTTCGCTATACGCGATGTTTTGGTTGGCTGGTCCAGATGGGTTGGGGTAGTTTGGCTTTCTCTACTTTGAGCATGTGCAATGTAGGAGGCCTTAGAGGTTTGTGTGGAAGAGAACATGTTACGTAGGTTCGACATCATGTCAGGGTAGGTAGCGGGTGGCCGTCGGGTACGTTACCCCGCTGTCCCATACTATCCGGACTACAATAACAAACCATCGTGACATTTTGTTAGGAGCAAAGTACAGCGAGCGTAACAATCTGGATTTCCGCCACTCGGACTTCGTTGACCTGCTTTATATGTACAATCAGGATACAAGCAGCTGACGTACCACCCAACATCTCATCTGTCCTTCCGTCCCGGTTCCTCCACCAACGGCGCGTTAAATCGGGTAGATCTCTTGACGATCACAAATCCTACTGGGTAAGCGAGCCTCACAAAGTCGTGAATGTTAAGCAAGGCGGGTCTACAGCATCGCCGGCTTCCTGTATGGGTAACGTGAGCGCGTTTCAGTTGTATACATGTGGAGATGAGGATCTTCGATCCGGATAGCTGGTGGGCGCGTGAGGACTTTGTTGGCTGGGCAGGTGGGGTATGAAGAGGCTGGAAGTGGGGTATCGTGATAAGTGAGGATGCGAGGACGCGTGGTTCGTTGTGGGTTGGTTTGGTGTTGGTGTGGGCGGGTTCAGATTGTGATGTTTGGGGTGGGAGGTGGGAGGTTGGTTTGGGAAGGTATGACGACAGATGATCTGCGGTTTCGTGAGACCGATGCTGGAGGGGCATCATGAAGCGATCGAGGAGCTTAGTTCAGAGAACAATACATGTTCGCCATAATCTATGTATGTACTCTGGGTACTTCCCGGAAGGAGAGCCTTCTTCGTCTTATCCCGCCTTACCTCGATATAGTATCATCTCGTCATACATATGCAACAACTTCCGAACACCCCACGGGATGTGATCGATAGGGCATTAGATCACAGTTAATTAAAGGCAACAACTTTTGAGCCACTAGAGATCCCGACGCGACTTGCTTTGGTCATAGTGTCGATATAGCCCTCAAGAAAGTAGTAATCATCCTTGGCATATTGTGCCATCATCTCCTCCCTGGCCAAGTCTGCCGATCGAAGCATCTGTTTTGGTTGAAGACATAACACTTTTATCGGGTGCTCTGGGGTTTGATTGGGGCCCTCGGTAGCCTTGACAGGTAGGTCAGGAGGATAGGCCGTGCCTTGGACGACGACACCTAGATACTCAAGGATACTATCGTCGATCATGGAGCCCATTTCCGTGATGTACGAAAGAAGTTTATCTCTTATCAACGCCTCGAAATGCCCAATACCTAGCGGTAGGCCTGTCTCTTCTTCGTTAAGGAAGTCGATGGTACATCGCAAAGTCAGTGACAGTAGCTTCTTGTGACTCGCAAAGTTTGCCTAGTCTGTTGAATCAGTCAAGACAATGACGAAAACCGGTGGAAGTTGACACACAAAGACTTCAGTGAGCCGTTTCTTGCTCTCAATACAAAACCTGGTTGACTTCGAATAATAGAGGTCATCCATGGAAACACCCAAGTGACGCAGAGCTGTCAGTGCGTCCAGACTAGAAAGCGAGGTGTCCCGTATACCGAAGAAGAGGAGTTCAAGACTCTGCGCGTGTGAGCGGAGACTTGAGCAATCCATGAAGTACAAGTTTGGTCCGTACACAATGAGTTCTCGCAAGCAGCTCGTTCCTCCAATTAAGCGAATAATGTCATCTCCGCGTATGTAATTGGCACTTGTAATCATTAATGCTCGTAGCTTTGGAAGACATTCTGGTTTGACGCGAACGTGGAAATGAACGTCGTTCTTGCAGTCGATCATTGCAAGAGCGTGGAGCGCAGGAAATGAGGGCAGACCCACCCGCATGGGGAGATGTTTGAAATCGTAGCCAAGAATAGTAAGCCTGGTAGCCATGGAGAGTAAGAAGTTCCGAGAAGATGGCTCGCCTCTAGGTACTGTAAATACATGGGGCGAAAGCTCATTACCTTGGGCTGAGAACCAAAGATGAATATTCTTCAGGCTGGGTGATTTCTTAACAATAACACTGCTCATGTCATCGACGCTACTACTGATAGGCAGCTCTAGTGTAATGTTGCGAAGGCTGCAAAATTGTAAAGTCACCGGAAGACAATCGGCAATGCTGATATCGTTGGATCTCATGAAACTTGGCAAGCTTACTTGTGCAAGGTGTTGCTGAGTTTCCATCAATATGATCAGGTTTCTTGTAGACACCATGGATGGGGCAACGACAGGGTGTGTTAGACTATGGGAACGTTAGCAGCATCTATAGTGTGGTGCTAAGTTGTACCTAAAGGACAGCAACTGATGCCGGCGCAGAGCTGCAAGAAGAATACCAGTAACCACATCTCCGACATGATGCCGCTTGCTAGCATTTGCGGTTGACTGTCCTGAATCATGAACTTGAATATGCCGAACATGTCGTAGACCGTTACCGGAAGCAAGGTTTTCCCAGGTGGTCATTGCCGTGACCGGACCAGTTTTAATAAAGATGCGATGATAAGCCACCGGGTATGCAATTTCCAAGAGGTGTATGCACGTCTTCGCTATGCTGAGCTGATCGCGCTGGACTAACTGCAACTGACGCATCAGCATAGAAGGGCAAATGAGCCAGAGACACTTACTTCAGCTAAAATATGCTTGAGCATCTCGTACGGCAAGCGCAGTATGTGGCAGTGTGTGCCATCTGGCGGAGGCTCCATTGTCGCTCTAGCGGATTTCGCGTATCGAAGCTTCAGCTGTAATGGTTATGATTAAGAGAACTCGAAGGTGAGAGGTGGTGTTTGTACGAGAGCGGCCATGGTGCCTTCCGTGAACACGAAGTCACGAGATGACGCGTGTCTCCGTCCCTTCCTCCATGTGCAACCGCTATCTGAAAGTTTTGCCCGAGCTCGTTGCAGAAAGGGAAGCGGCGCAGGAGGTGAAGTGAAGGTGAGAGATGACCTATTCAGGTAGAATTCTAGGTAATTTATACTGTCCGCCTTATGGTCGTGCAAGTTCTGAAGTTACCTGTCATCAATTGATTGCGTGTTAAAAAATTGGCAACTTGTAGTCCTTTCTGATTTTACGTGCCACTTGGCATCGTGCCTTCAAGATTGAAATAAAGTGGCAGCCTACGCGGTAACATGCGAGACAGAGATCAATCGACAGTCGAACGCAGCAGACAGTACAAAGAGCCAGGTAGCGCTTGACCAAAAGGTCGAGGCTTTACCTACAGTGATATGTTCAGAGACCAACAATCCTACAAAACTACCCGAGAGAGCTAGAGGTCTTGTCTCTAGTCCATTGTAGCATTCAAACACTTCCAGAGTTATTTTCTGCTGCGTGCCGCTGTGCAACGTGCAACGTGCAGGGTGCAGGAAGCATATGCAGGATTGTGCAAAAGAGGTCCATCCGAGGGTGTCATGGATCTGGTAGACGTGTTCTTGATCCATTTTGTGCATCAATCATGCGCGTTACTGTCATGGCATCGGATAGCGTACAGGCTGAGTAAAAGATATCGCGCAATCATGGTGGTGTTGAAATGTTGTGGGGATGGAAATATATGTGGCTTGAAGGGCATGGCGTCACTCACGACCCTGCAGATCCGCACGGTGCGGCTTCATCGGCCCTTACAACATTGCGATCCAACACATGCCAGACAACTCGATGCCCTCCGACGAGCGCTGACCCACCTTCTGCTCCAATGCACCCGGCCGTCTCCATACTTGCCGATAATGTCGTCAAATACCACCACCTGCTTGCCCCGCTGCTCTACAACGTCCTCGCGGCCGTCGCAAACGTCCACACGCCGGTCCAGCATTCGCTTCTCATAACGACAATATCATGGCTCATAGTGTGGGTACCGACGGTGTTCTGGGTGGGGATATATTCAAACAGCGATAGAGCCAAGCGGAAGACGAGCTGGCTTGCTGGCGCTCTGCTAGGCCTGTCTGCAATATGCGACCGCGCGGCATGCGACAAGCAGGGCATTTGGGCGACAAAGGTACTTTCAGCGAGGAGTAGCATCATCACACCCGTCTAACTGTACCCACAGGCCCTTGTACCTCTCTTTACCGTCCTCTTCTCCGAGAATGAACTGCTCGCAAAGCATCTCGTCCTACCCACATTCACCATCCTCGATGGCCCTGCAGCCGAGACCAAGACCTCTCCGGACCGGCAGCTTCATAACGAATCACATGGAATACTGGCAGTTCTGACGGTATCTGCGAGCGTTGTTCTTGGCGTCTACACGGTTCCCACGACTGTCTCGCTCGGTCTCAGTAGTGCCATCTTTGCTGCCACAGGTCTCGTCCTGTTCGAGTCCACAATAAGAGCCGCCACAGAGGAGGGCGATGGTAGCAGGCGTGGGCCTATGTCTGCCAATGGAAACATCCCGAGGCGCGCCTCAATAAGCGGCAGTTTGAGGGCGCAGCGACTAGCTGCGCTTAGAGACGTTGCCGTGGCCATTGCTGTCGTGTGCGGCATCGCATCTATCCTTACCGAATCTTCATTGACCGCAAGTACAATCTCTTGGGAGCCCGTATACAGAGAGTATGACCGAGAATGGAGGGATGTGCATAATCTCCGCATCCTCATGCGATTCCTCTGGATGTTGCCGGTTCAATCCATTGTAAATATTCTTGTCTTTGTTCTGGTACGTATGAGCTTCCTATCAGCTGTTGACATCTTCTCGTACCTCTCTGCTGTTACTGAGCATGAGCTTGGCCTACTATACCTGCTCTTGCACTTCTCTCCGATTCTCACCTAGGCTCTGCTTTCAAATTCTAGACCCAAAGATGTAGCTTTCATTCTCAGTGCGTTGCCAATGAATCAAACTAACTTGGTGGTAGATCTCCCAATACGGCGCTGTACATACATCTCTGTTGGCCGTGTTTTCACATCTTGCTGCGAAGCTACACTTTGCACCGACCTTTTCCACCATTTTTTTTACGTCCATCTACGGTGTGGCAGCACTGGTATACTTCTTCGAGTCGCCTGATTCCCCCCTGATGATGGATACGCGGCGCTCTATGCGATTACGACGCTTCATCTTCGTAGTCCTGGCGCTTGCAGTGGGATCTTTACTTCTTGGACGTCTGAATGGACCACAAACTTATCGACCTGTCGCTGATGGTGTAGTCACTAACATTCCGTTTTACCCACCTGGGAAATCACTTGGTCCAATGCCGATCGATACAGATAAAGGTCATCCGGCTGCGCAATTGATCGACGCTGCAGAGGCAGAGTTCCAAAGCACCCTCAACCGGCAATCAAAGTCCCTTACCGATGCAGTTCGCGAATACCGCCGCAGAAATGGAATATCGCCTCCTCCTCACTTTGATAAGTGGTATGAATTCGCGACACGGAATGGAGTTGTCATGATAGATGAGTACGACACCATCAATGAGATGCTGCTACCGTTCTGGGCACTCAAGCCGTCCACCATCCGCTCGCGCATCGCGAACGCATTAGGCCATGAGGATAGCTCACTGCTTGCGATTGCGGTACGCCATGGGGCTATAGAGAACTTTCAAGGTGGCGACGAATGGCAACAACAAGCTACGATTGGCATGATGAAACAATTTGTGCAATATCTGCCTGATATGGATCTAGGATTCAACTTACATGACGAACCGCGAGTTATCGTACCCAACAATCTCATGTCATCGATGGTGGCAAAGGTGAGAGATGAGATTCTACCTCGCACTGCGAAGAACACTACCCCACGCAATGCCTTTTCAACTCGTCCCGAAGACCTCAGTGACGGCACACGATTTGCCGAAGTTAGTACGACCAAGTTTAATCGCTTTGCGCATCAGCAGACATGGACCCATTCGCGGTTATCATGTTCTCCTGGAAGTCAGGCCCAGACTTTCGAAGACTACGCCGCCGACAATCTCACGGCGTATGCTACCAGCGACCTTGGCTTTATCTACAACGCGACTGCCTTTTCTGATATCTGCAACTCCCCTTCATTCTCCTCAACATACGGATTCTTCGAACGACCCAATGCCTTCAGCATCATCCACGAACTCACACCCATCTTCTCGCAATCGAAGATCTCCAGCTTCCAAGACATCCTGTATCCAAGTCCTTGGTACTGGATAGGCAAAGTAGGCTACGACGAGACCCACGACACGACATGGGAGAACAAGACAAACAGTCTTTACTGGCGCGGCTCTACAACAGGAGGCTTCAGCCGCAACGGCGGCTGGCGACGTCAACATCGCCAACACGTAGTCCAACGCCTCAACGCTCCAGACACCGCCAAAATTCTCGAACCCGTCTCCACGTCATCCGCCGCGAACAGCCCCTCCACCTCCTACGCAGTGACGGAAATTGACCGCCGCGCCCTCAAAAACCTCATCGACGTCCACTTCTCCCACATTGGCCAATGCGACCCAGGTGACTGCGATGCACAACAAGAATTCTTCGACGTGACCGAACGCGTCGACGGACAGGATGCATGGTACTACAAGCATCTCCTCGACATGGACGGCAATGCCTTTTCGGGTCGGTTCTACAGCTTTCTTAAAAGCCGGTCTTTAACCTACAAAATGGCGTTGTTCCGTGAATGGCATGCAGAGTGGCTACGGCCTTGGGTTCATTACATCCCTCTGTCTCTCCGCGGCGACGAACATCTCGATCTTGTGAGATGGTTTTCGGGAGCGAAAGTGTTTGATGACGATGGTGATGGGAAGGCGGAGAGAAGTGATGCTGATGGAGGGAAGAAGGGCGGCAATGGCGATAGTGAGGGGGAGAGGAAGGCGAGGGTTATTGCGAAAAGGAGTTCTGAGTGGCATGACAGAGTGTTGAGAAATGTAGACTTTGAGGTCTGGTTTTTCAGATTGTTGTTAGAGTACGGGCGGGTAGTGGATGATAGGAGGGAGGAAATTGGGTTCCCGGGGCCGTAG